TACCGGGTAATCAAGATTTTTATTGTTATAAAATGCAAAGTGTATCAAAGTACTTGAGCAGCTTGATTAAAAACATGAAAAGATTTGGAAAATATCTGTCAATGCCCAGTTAATGGTACAAATGCTTTGTAAATCCTAAAGTTTATGAACCATATGTCAGTTTCATTGGACTACACAGAAACTTGTTTGTCCAGCCAAAAGGTAACTCCAACCTTTATCGTCAGTTGACTCCCTTGCCTCGGGAAAATGTTTTGTGGAGACAGAATATCAAACCTTGATTTGTGTTACTTTTCTGGATGCATGTTTGAAATGCCACCATTCGTTTCCTGAAATCTTAAGCCCCAACAACCAGCTCCAGCTTTGTATTTGGACATTGTGACATCATTGGATGCGTCAACGCCATGTTCCACAAGCTGTGTCAGAGCTATTTTAAAGACTTTTCTTTTGTATAGAACTATATTTTCAAATTTTTGTGTTCATCACACAAAAATGAACTTACAATATGTTAAACAGAACACATCTAACACCACACATAGCTTATTCTATTAACTTTTTGATGATAGAAATATGAAAGAAAATTAGTTATTTTCTCACCCTCCGACCAGGTTATATATTAAACATTTTAAGTTGTAGCTGGATCACATATATCTTACCGCCATGTTTTAATGTGACATTGTAAATGAATTAAAACAAATTCAAAATTGATAGAAAAAGCTGTTCATTGAGCTGAGGTTAACTTGTGCTATGTTACATGTATTCCATTGACTTGGAAAAAGCGTTTAGCTTTTTACTTCGATCTAAGGTATAAGGGATTTATTCTGTCTCTCAGAAATCCATGTGCAGCCTGATTTGCTCTTGATGGGGTATAAAAAATGTATTCCCCCACTGAGAAATTTATTTCCCTCAAAGGTGGGATACATAGTATTTTATCAAGATTACGTTGACCAATTAGATCCCATCATTCTGACATGGAGTTATGATAATATACATTGTATCTCAATTGATCCATAACTCAAGAAATACAGAAGTGGCCTTCTATGGAGTCTCTGGAGCTGATTAGAAAACATTGTCAGCTTATGTAAAGTACAGCAGATGGTTCATCGATATTTTGTCTTTGTTTTTTAAAGTCCTTTTTTGTGTTTTTCATGAGATGCACAGTCATTGTTTTAATTATTCAAAAACTGATATTATTGGTGACACCTTAGTTTGTGTAGTAGCTGCAGATGTCTGCTCTCTGTGCTACACCTTGTGGAAGAATGAGAGGTTAGAACCACCAGTGTCATGGAAAGTGAAGTGTTTGTGTGGACAGTATGTTGTCATAGCTACATGGGAAATAAATTATTCATCTTTTTTAAACACATTGTTTTGTCATTAATTCGCTTGTATTTCGTTTGATTCACTTTGGACTTTCCTCCCATGCCTTGAGAAGCTGAGAATCTGAATCACTGTCCAAGGTGTTATTATCCTAACCAAATGTCGCACTAACTCACTGACCCGTGAAGATCTGGGTAGAGAACAGGTCTTCTGCAACCCATGCTTCTCATAAGAGGCGACTCTGCTCGTAAGAGGTGGCTGACTTGGTTGAAACCTGTCATTGTATCCCAATATAGCGTAGATTGATGCTCATTATATCAATCACTGGATAGTCTGGTCCAGACTGGATTATTTTCAGACCACCGTCATGTTGTTGGAATATTGCTTAGTACAGCGTTAAACAAAAACAAACAAATACTAACTCACTGTTGGGTTCAGCAGGGTGGCCCAAGTCATCAAAGGTGCCACATTTCGCCATGCAGAGTTGCGTCCCTTGATTGTGGGATCGTCTCTGTCCTGTAGTCATACTTAATGAAAGACGCGCTCGTAAAATATACATAAATAACTGGAACGAAGTGTTTAACTTGCGGCTAGCTTCCAAATCGAAGCTTCCGTATGTAGTTTTGTACTGCTCGATATCGATTGATTATGCATCTCTGTTGCCCAACCAGCTCGCGGGTTGTGTACTGGAGTTGACAAGACTCGTGAGCGAATGACTTAGCATGGTAGTGGGACACATTTAGAACCATATTATGCTTATCTGGAGCAGAGAAAGTAGTGATATTTATTATGATTGTGTGTATGTTGTTTAACGCCGCACTCAACAATATTACGGCAAATAACGGCGGCCTGTAAATAATCGAGTCTGGACCAAACAATCTAGCTTTGCTCCAAGGCTGTACTGAAAGAAAAGTCCATGGATGTGTCGTAATTCTATCCTAATAGGCAAGTCTAGATATGTGGACAGTGCATCTAAGGTTGGTTTGGTTGGTTGTTTGTTGTTTAACGCCGCACTCAGCAATATTCCAGCTATATGACGGCGGTCTGTAAATAATCGAGTCTGGACCAGACAATCCATTGACTTATATGATGAGCATCGATCCACGCAATTGTGATCGATGACATGCATCAACCAAGTCAGCGAGCCGGAACACCCGATCCCGCTAGTCGCATCTTGCGACAAGCAGAGTTGCCTTTTACGGCAAGCATGGGTTGCTGAAGACCTATTCTACCCCGGATCTTCACGGGCTGTACATCTAAGGACTCTAGTCTCTTATAGAGACTTGTTCTTTTTATTTACATAATCTATAAATAATGATTTAAACTAATAATTATTACCTTAGAGACTTGTGCATGTCTACAAACAATCCAGAGATCGATATTGTGAGCAACGTACTACATCCTGGGGTACGCAAGCAACCAAGTCACCAAGCCTGACCATCCGATCCAATCTGTCGCCTCTTACGCCAGCACTGGTAAGCAATCTCATTAAAATCATATCTTAGTGCTTAGTGTAGTGGTAGCGAGCACTTAGATCTGATTTGAATGAGATTGGAAAGTAAGTATCTGTTTATGCCATATGAAGAGCAATACGCACAATTCTAGATAACAAATGTTAAATTCCTTTATGAATGATGACGAAGAAAGCATACGATATATACATGATGCATATTATTATCGATGTAAATATATGAACAATAATGCAGCACATATGATCTGTTCTGACATATTTCTCGGCGCTGGATTCCAACACGTAAATTCCAAACACGTGTCCTGTTTTCGGCTAGTGTTTACGTAATTCTAACGTCAGAATACGACATGTCATTGATTCCTGAACAAAACAGGAACTTGTCAACACGATCGATGACACGAGAAACAGTACAAAAGCGCCAAGGGAGATAATTCATGTTACCAAAAGAAAGTGGTGTGATCGTAAAATCTTCGGCGGTCCAAAACCAGCTTCGAAACTCTACGGGTATCCATGCGTTTTGAGTTCGGGCAATTCAGCTTGTAAAACATCAGGGGAGCAGACAGAATCACAATGGTTCGGGGAAAATGTCTTCTGAATATCTTCATTTGATCTTTAGTTCACACTGTCTTACAACTTCAACATGTCTAAACATTAGACTCTTACGTCTAGATCTGGACCGAAAATAATGGGCATGCACGAGGTGGGAGGTCTAAAAACGAATGTAGGCGACAGCAACACGGCAGTAGAGGCAGCTGACCAGTGTCTGATGTTCTGATATCTTGAAGTTGTAAATACAATGTATAAACCAATTATCAAATGAATTTATGCAGGGGACTGTCTCCTTAAGAGAGTTCTACCTTCCCTCTTCACTCATGTTTCTGTCGATTCTGAAGATCGATAATATGTATCTATATTCGATAGGCAGGTGTAGCTGGTTGGAAAAAGACAGGAGTATACAGATAGTACCCACGGTGCATGACCCCCATAGGAGAAAAAAATATTTAGAATATCGTAGAATTAGAAACATATACGTTTACTATCAATCTCATTAAAATCAGATCTTAGTTCTCGCTACCGCTTTGTTTAGTAGTAGCGAGAACTAAGGTCTGATTTTAATGAGATTGCGTTTACTATCAAACCTCCCCTCCCTCTTTCACTGTGTCATTTTTTCATGACACCCAGAATCCCAACCCCCTCCCCCTCCCGGTCCCCAGCTGTCAACCGTAGGATCAACTGCATGGTAGTGGGGTCGAATCCTTGTGGGTTTCAAAATATGTCACCTTTGTCGTTTCCTCCTCCTTTCTAGCTGACACGTGATATGGTTATCTAAAATACTGATCAAGGTGGCGTTAAACAAACTCACTCACTTACCGAGACAATTAACGTTTAATTTCACACACGACGCAGTGATTACAACGCCTATAGATCTAGACTGGAAATGCCCTCAATTGGGGATGTATATATAGTCCTTCCCTTAAAGAATATTTCATTTATACGTCAACAATTCTGACACTTCTCTGTCAGTTCATAAGGAAGTTTGTTGGACGAAGAAACGTGTTTATTATACAATAAGACTCTTACGACAGTCTCTCATTCATACAAATCGTGAAACAAAATACTCGCTAATCCCAAACAAGTCTAGATTTCTTCAGCAAATGAGCTTCCCTCGTCCTTTATATTAATATATTACAAGACAATAACACACACACACACACATTTTTTTTAATTTCAGAGACTTATGTCAGTGTAGACGCTTATTATAGGGAGTCATATATGAATTCGTATGGAGATATCCCACTATTGATAGAATTTGGATACAGTTGATAACTTGTGTATACATATTTTCTTAAATGTACTGTCGCGTGAGCTGTTCATACCAGATCCCAATAAAACCTATCCTAATAATTGTCTATACGACAATGCTGAATCATTCAAAATGGAACGGCCCCTCTCGTTCTAGAACGGACCGTTATCCGCGACTTGTTTATCTGGGTTAAATATGCTACTACGCAGTACACTCAAAACGAAAGGTCGCGAAATTTTCCGTCACGTGTCCATGACTCATATAACCGCGTGATTCTGACAAGTCCGTTCTAAATCGGACTAGGAACGCCCCCAACCGGTCCATCGAACGATCGCGAACGTTCTTTTTGCTATCTTTAGCCGTGACACACTGCAAATTTGTGCTGAATCCTTCAGGAAGTTGCGCAGAAGTCCAATTCGCGAATCAAAATAAACACTCTGTGCATGATTGCTCCTCCCACTACCACAATGTTGGGTATATAAACCCAGGTTTTCCATCCGTGATCCAAAGCCCGGCCACGTAGCCTACTGCATAGAAGATACGTGAACGTCAACACAACTGTCAACGAAATATATCAACAAATCAGCCTTTGAGAGACACTGAAACTTCGTCACTCACTTGACAGGCAGAAAGATGTCCGTAGTAATCAAAGCGTTCCTGGAGCGAGATGGGGACCCAAAGGCTGAGATCCGACGTTTCGGAGTTCCGGCAGATGCGTCTTCCAGTTTCACCTACATGTTCAAGAAGGTGTCAGAAGTGTTCCCGGGGCTTGTCACTGGACACTTCAACCTCTTTTGGAAAGGTGAGTGACAAGCAGACGACATTTGTTGTGACGTTTGGCCGAGACCAACAAAATTTGCTTACAAATGAGAGTACTGACTGGTTTCTCCACAGCCAATTTACACTTGTGGCATAAGGTACTGACAATACCGGGATGTCAATGAAAACTGTGGTGCAACTCGAGAGATATAAGAAAAATGTTGATGCTCAAGGGATCTTTATTTACGGCTTGTCAGGCACACGGGCTTGTGACGCGAAAGTAGCTGCTACAAGATATATGGTCACACCCAGCGTCAGTATACTATATAAAAGGATAAAAGGATGACCATATACCTTGTAGCTGCTATATTTTGGGTTACAAGTCCCTGTGCTGTCAGGAAATCCGTAACATATTTAAGTTTGGCCTTCTGGATTTTATTGAAACTATTATCGGTGAACGGTCTTTGTGTTAAAAATACATTCAGAGCCTTTCTTTTATGGATTTTATGTATAAACATAGGATTTTGTATTAGAACACACACACAATATATATATATATATATATATATATATATATATATATATATATATATATAATAAAATAATAAAGTCCACGTTAGTCCATCATCTTCTTTATAAAGAAGATGATGGACTAACGTGGACTTTATTATTTTATTATATATTACATGTACACCGAGTGAACATTTACCTCATTTTTGTATATATATATATATGTGTGTGTGTGTGTGTGTGTGTGTGTGTGTGTGTGTGTGTGTGTGAGGAGTTGGAATTATCTGTGATATAAGGTGATATTCAAAGTGATGTGTTATCGGTTTACGCAGTCACCTTCCATTTGACATATTGCGACAGATGTTAAACTGGAGTGAGTCATTGAAATGACAACTGAATATATATAGATGAAATGGATTTTGTTATTTAATCTTATTTTTGTTTCGTCAGACAGCGATGGTGACCTGGTGTCTTTCTCTTCTGATGAGGAGCTGATGGAAGCACTGGGTTTTGTAACTGACTCAGTGTTCAGAATCTATGTGAGAGGTGAGTCTGGATGTATAATCAGTTGATTATAAATTTAGTAACATTGTAGTATAAGTGTTTCATCAATCTATGTGATACAAATTGTACATCCATGGTATAAATGCAATATCCACCAGCATTTGATAAATTACCATGAAAATCATGAACTTTGTTATAGTTTACTGACAATTATAATGTTCAATCAGATTCTTGTGTTAACATTGTGTATTTCTTGTAGTAGTTGCTATTATAGAAACTGAAAGAAAATTAGATCATGTACAAAGACTCAAATACCTTGTTTTAATTCCAATATACACTCACAGGATGAGTTTTGATGATCTACAATACAGGGCAGTAACTAGTACTTTCCTAAATGGATTATTAATGTTGATCATATTCTGTAATGGCTTTCAAAACTCATTTCCCTGAAATGAAAACTGAAACCGATTATTATTCAAACGGCTTTTGTGACATTATGGAGCTTCCTGTTGGCTAGGAATAACTTGTGGAGGATATGTATTCATATGACTCCTGGTTGTTTCAGTAAATTTTGTAAACATTTCGAGGAAATTACTTTTTTGTTGCCACCTCAGCGGAAATGGAAAAATAAAACCAACATTGTTATAACTACATTCTGAAAGGAGTATCACTTAGTTTGTCTGTTATGTAAGCATTTGAGAAATAGGTATTTACCACCAAAGAAGTGCCATACAGGTCCATAAATATATATATTTACAGTGCTGTTGTCAGTCAAAAGTTAATAAACCCATGTTTAATGATTAGCTCTGTTTGTACATCAAGCTGTGTTAAACCGAAAGACACAACTCAGTGTCTTGAACATTATGTCCTGAAATCAACACTGAACTACTTAGTAAGGAAATAAGTGTGTCATGACATCTAACACCACAAGTGATCCATGACTTTGTGATTATTAGGTAACTGTATCACAAACTGAATAATATTTGGCAACTTTGAAAACGGTACCTTTTTTAAGCACATTCTAATACTATAACACTGGCATGCTGTTCCTCCAAGCCCCTGGTACAAGCTGGGAGAGTGTTCTTTGTTTGAGGGGGCGGGCGGGTAGCCTAGTGGTTAAAGCGTTGGCTCGTCACGCAGAAGACCCGGGTTCGATTCCCGACATGGGTACAATGTGTGAAGCCTATTTCTGGTTCCCCCCTGCCGTGATATTGCTGGAATATTGCTAAAAGCGGCGTAAAACCATACTCACTCACTTCTTTGTTTGAGCCAGAGAAAACAAATTCTTTGACAATAGATATACCAATCATATCTTACCTCATTCTTATGAAAATATGGATGGACCAATAATAGTTGACCTCATTCTTGTGAAAAAGAATAATTGAATGCACCACATAGCCATTATTTTGACATTTGAAACAAGTTAGAAAATTTTAGCCTTTTGTGCAGTTTCATACTGTTTGCTAATTGGTCATTTCAGAGCATGCTCCGCCATCATCTCCCAACAACAGCAGCAGCAGCAGCGGTGGATCGCTCCACCCCAACGTTGTGTGCGATGGCTGCGAGGGGGCGGTCCGAGGTATCCGTTACAAGTGCTGCGTGTGCCCAGACTATGATCTCTGTAGTCAGTGCGAGGCTAAAAAGATCCACTCAGAACATGACATGTTCAAGATTGTGGACCCCGTTAACTCCTGTGGCCCAGGCAGAATGGTGAGATTTCCATAATCAGTTGAATTGATAAGTTTGTTGTTTTAATGTTACAGTGTATATTCTTCTGTGTTTGAATTATGTTCTCTCCTCCAGTTTGTCTATTTGTTAGTGTGATTTGTGATAACTGAGAAATATGTACATATCCCGAATTGCAGCAATTTAGTTGATTCTTAAGATACAATACAATACAATACAATACAATACAATACAATACAATATAATATAATTTCAGTATTGGTAGTTTTCTGATAAAGTTAAAATTGCATGAAGTAATATTAGTCACTCATAGCTTGTGTTAATATTCACAGCCATTCCGCCCACCACCCCATTTCCGCCGGTGGATGAAGCGTTACATGAACCGATGGCACAACCGTCATGGTGGGTGTGGCATGGACACGGAGGGAGACGGCGCCCCCGGGGCAGACTCGGACCCCAACCAGGAGGGAGGACAAGAGGCTGGACCCGAGGAGGAATATCTCCACAATGTGGGAGAGAACGTGGCGGCCATGTTGGATCCTTTCGGTATGTCAAACAGTAACATATATAATACATTACGTAGTTGTGTCACATTTCACCGATATATCAATGCATTGTGAAATAACACCCCAGTGAGAATACAGCTTTTGGAAAAGGAGGGGTGTATTTTGTGATTGGCCAATTTTCGTTTGGTAATGGTGTAGTTTTGTTGGAAGTATATCACAAAGTCACTAATATATCACAAGGTCATTGATATATCAGGGGTAAGAATGTCACATTAAGTCATATGACTTGTCTGTTGTAAATCCAGTGAAGAGTTTGTCACTAAACATTACCTTGCTTTGTGTTAGTTCCATGAAAGAAAACACGATCACACATCTAGTTTCTCCATTTTTATTTTTGTAGCAGATGAATCTTGTCAAAGATTTTTTAAGATAAGAAATATTTTGAAAAACTATTTGAAAGGTTTTGTGATTGTAAGGGATTGACTAATTCATTAGGTACCTTCGGTTTGATAAGTATGATAGAATAGAGGTAAATGTCAATACTGTCTTCTGTCCTAGGTATTGATGTGAGTTTTGATGTTGAGCATCCCGGTCGCCGTCGTGGTGGGCCATGTCATGGAGCTGGCAGACGCGGATGTAGAGGTTTCGGAGGAGGATGGGGATTTGGGTGGGGAGGACACAGAGGTCATGGTCACCGATTCCGCCACTGCCATCGTCGCTATGGCACCAACCAGGACAAGGAGGCTGGGAAGGAAGACGAAGAGATGAAAGAGCAAGCAGACGCCAAAACAGCAGGACCCAAACAACAGGGAACAGCTGCCAAAATGGCTGAGGATGGCTCCGGATCATCTGAAACTCCAGTCACAGAGAAGATGAAGGATCTGCAGATCAACGGGGGCCCTGGTAATTGTGAAGGAGAGTGGACCCTTCTGTCCAGCTCCAGATCTCCATCCAGCCCTCCTCACCCAGGTTAGTAGTAGCCGGACACTGTGACCACATTGGAAGACATGTTCCACATGCTGTGTTGGAACTATTCAAATGGCTTTTGCAATTGATTTGTCGTAGACATTGGGTATTCTTTCTTTGTTTGCCATGATTTTGTTCTCATTATCACCGGTAAATCAGATTTGGTAAATAAGTAAAGACAGGAGTACTTTCATGACAATATTTCATTGTCTGCAGTTAATACTTTATGAACCATTTATTTACATTCTGATGCTAATGTTTCAGTATATCTTTACCAGAATCCAGTACATTAAATCTTATACAAGATAGCTCATGAAACTGTTTACATTTTTCATGCTCTGTACCATGAATGTATGTTTTTATGTGCAAATATTTTCTGTAGATCCCAAGATTTCTGAAGCTCTCCAGCAGATGTCCCAGATGGGGTTCACAAATGATGGCGGCTGGCTCACACGGCTGCTCGAGGCCAAGAATGGAGACATCAGTCAGGTCCTCGATGCCATCAAGCCAGATCGACGAACCAATGGGGGCTACTTAGCCTAAACACTGATCCAGACTGTTACAAACTCTTAATTATGAATACAGGCTATGCTAGTTAACTGGATTATTCTGTACATTATAAGGGCTCTTTATATAAACAATATCTGTTTTGGGGATGACATATCTGATAGAATTGTTTGACAATGTTTAACAACGTTGATGCCAATTGGCCAGATCGACCAACCAATGGGGGCTTCATAGCCTAAACACTGATCCAGACTGTTACACACTCTTAATTATGAATACAGGCTATGCTAGTTAACTGGGTTATTTTGTACAGTATAACAGCTCTTTATATGAACAATGTCTGTTTTGGGATGAAATATTTGACAGTATTGTTTGACAATGTTTAACAATGTTAAACAGTATTTGACCTTTAATTTTTATATGTTGTGAGGTGTTTTGAATTATGTGTGTTTTGAAATACATTGCACTGTTATCAAACTGAATCAATATCAACCTTGTTCAAATCAAAATTTACAGAAATACCCCACTAATTAGAGACAAAAGAATCAAAAAGACAGGAATTCTCTAACTAACTGATGGAGAATGTTTTAATATGTAAAATTCAGTCTCAATTTTGTAAGTAATTTTTATTTACCAGTATATATTCATACAGTGATATTGTTGGGTTTTTTCATCATTTTGTATTTGCATAGCTGGTAACTCCAGTTTGGTTCAAGTATCTTGATATTAATGTTTACAAACTGTTTTACTGAAAGATGTCTGACTGAAGATAAATATTTAGTTTATCGTGCACCACGATTTTAAGTGGGAGTTTGTTTATATCTTTATGTTACTGCATTTAGCATTTACAACTTAGGGTAATATTTGCTTGTGTGTAGGAAGTATGAAAACCATGTCGCTATAATGCCTGTTGGGTTTGATTCACATGTCCTAAAACTGGGTATTGTGAAAACTGGGTATTGTGATTCAATGGTAAGGGTGGTGACGGTGCAAACCTTAGAAAAGGTAACAAGGGTTCTTGTTTCTGTCAGAAATGTTTGTTGTGATATTCTTACATAGCCAATAAATTTATTGGATAATAAATATTTCATGTCTTGTTTTCATATTCATACAATTGTCAAATTTCTCTATAGGTAAATCAAGCTGTTGACAGGAGTAAGATGGTACATAAGCTCACTCCATCAACCAGAATATATGCTCTAAGTTTTTGACATACACATTCAAAGCTGAACTTCCCACCAATAGCTGCAAGATTGCTGATTGGGTGTTTGCAATAACCCCTGATAGCCCTGGGCAACAAAAACTGTATAACAAACCATAAGTAATAATAATAAGTATATTTCTATTACACAAAGTCCTGGAACTATAGCATGCTCAAAGCACTAAATCATTACCCAGTTCAATGGATCAGTATGCACTTGATTTTCATTATCAGCTCCCTGGGGAGAATACATTTCAAGTTGCCTCTGAGGGGCAACTCTCATTACCATCTCAACCTGCCGGGTACCCACTCACTGCTGGGTGAACAGAGGCATAGTTCAAACAAAATCACTTGCCTAAGGAGGCACCACATGTTACATATATTTCAGTGCATAGGCGGATCCAGGGGGGTTCAGGGGGTCCGGACCCACCCCCAGTCCAATTTTGAAAACCATATATAGTATGTTGTAGGCAGTAAAATTATCTGAGAGAGGATTTTGATATTTTGGACCCTCCCTTTTAAAAATGCTGGACCTGCCCTTGCAGTGTGTGGCAGGAACAAAGCCTTAGAAACTCTCAGGAGTCAAACTGGAAACACATCACTTGTCCATCTACTCTAAGGGAGGAACCATGCTTACTTCACCTGATTGGTGAACTGTGTGCTGTACACACAACCAGGTGTTGCAACATAGTAATACAACTTGTTAGCATATGACACTTCAGAGATTCATCATCTTATTAAGCAGCTTGGTAAAACGAATGTCATTTCATTCAAAACCACACGTCTTTCCAGTCAGCAATATTATGGCAAATTATAAATACTCCACAGAGGAATAAGGACTGGGTAACCAGTGGTTGATAGCATGAGAAGTATATTGGTAAACCAGTAAAAAGAAATTTCCAACAACAGAAAGCCACAAAACCTAAAGGTGCTATCGATAGTACATTCTATTTTGTGTAGATGACATGGCGCTCAGAAGCAAAAGAAAATGCCGTGGTGATTATCCGATCCCCGTTTGGATTACGAGTGACGAAGTTCCAATAAACATTCTCAACCAGTCAAGAGAAGCGCCTGTAAAATCCCAATCACTTCGCCATAACACGAGGGATTTTGCCACCTGCTTCAACATGGTTTTTTTTTTCAGTGGTGGATAAATCTGCTACTAAATCTTGCCATGAAATACTAAGATAAACACGAACTTTTTAAAGTTGATAAAGCGAATTGTATAACACAAATTGACATATGGTCTTCCCACGGATGGGATTATTCCTCAATCGTAAACCAAGATGCTACTATTTCTATGTTATTATTTTCAGAGGCTGTTGAAATGTCCTTTTCAACTGATTTAGCCCCTCTTGGTGATTCCAGGTGAGAATGGGTTCCTGGTACCTCATCCTTGTCGTAAGAGCCGATTAAAATGTAGATGGTTAGTCTGTGTGACTTGGCTGATAACAGGGTGTCGTAGTTCCCCAATAGCATGGATCTACTCGTGATAAGATCAGATTTTCCGGGTTATAACTGGTCGTCAGGGACTCGTTCTTCATAGGTGATCGTAACTGTCATATACTTTACACAGATTTACAATCGTCGTTGTGCTATGGTCGCTTTGTAGAACAGGCCCGGCAACCCATGGTTCTTGTAAGATACGACTAAGGGGATCGGGTTGTCAGGCTCGCTGACGTGGCTGATGCATTTCATTGACTTTACCATATCGTTTGAGACCCTTCTCACTTCGGCCTTTTCTCCCACATAAAGACGACACGCCATTATACAGCTGACATAGCGTTCCATGCGGCGTAAACACTACTATAAGTAATTTAGTTGACTGAGGGAAGCTCCACCATATTTATACATATTTGGGAGCCGTTCAACGAGATGAAAAAATGACTTGGGTGTGAGTGTGTAAGCAAATTGACAGTTCTATTTTTCAATCCAAAACGTTATATATTTGAACATTAAATAGGGACAGGTAATTTATTATTTGGTGAGGGGGTAATTAAAAATGTTACATGTTACATGTATCTGCGGGGTGGGGGGGTGTTATGTACAATGAAGTGTGTGTGTATGTGTGTGTGTGTGGGGGGGGGGGAGCAAAATATGATACAGTATTAAGCCCAGTTTCACCCACCCACCCCACTTTACATAATAAGTGACCATGCACTCCCATAATGGACCAGTGTATTAGAATATCCCGAGTTGGGAATGCCATGAAGCAAGTGGTAAACGTTTGACCATGTATTGGCATGGTGCTGACAAACCAATGTTCACGTTCATGTTTGAGTCTGGGATTCGAACTCACGACTGTCACATCCCGACAGTTTGGCGCATCTTAGTAACGCGAATTGCTGCTGTGTTGCAGTGTTGGGTGATAAACATCATCGGTTTGACAGACGGGTCGAATTTTGTCGCCTCTCTCACAACAAACGGTATAAAGTGGTGGAGACCTCGTCTGACCAGGGTCTCCGAGGGTACTTTAAGCAGGACATACGGTGCATGGCTAAGGGATTGTAGGGAACAGGATGGCGTCGTTAGTTCCAGTTAAAGCGGGTCCGTAATATTCCTCAGAAATAATATAAAACAATACAGATAGTTTATTTCATGTTAATTTCAGGTATGTTAATAATCACAAACTATACTCATAAATCACAAGTAGAATACAGAGATAAAAGACGACAAATCAGTGCAAAAATGTGCCACCACATAATTCTTTATCATTGGCATCCATTGACAAGGTCTGATTAACGGATATGACCTCTAATTCTATTTGCTTGTTTGTCACATCAGTTTAGAACATGTTAATTTCCACAGTGGGGTAAAGTACTATATTGTTTCACGGTTCTGCTCGAAATATCCCATAACATTCCCTATATTATGGACAGAAAACTTGTGCAAGAATGATTTTCACACATGGGGGAATCGAACCGGGGTCTTCAGGGTTAGGGTCGAACCCAATGTAAGCAACCCCATCGTCTCTTGTTTCCATAGAGACCATGCAACGAGTCAACACGATACCTGATTTGTTTTCAACGATACAAACGATAAACTTCCGCACCGTGAAATACTTTTGAATCTTGGTCCTGGTGACGATTGTTTTCTGTGGTGAACTGCTTAAAACTAGATCGGAAAAAAGTTGTATGACAACTCCCAGAGATAGACATTGAGCTGACAAGTCAATGTTATAATTATAGCTGAAGGGGGCCGAGGTGGGTTTTGTTTGTGACAAATTCAAAGTAATAATTCTTGGAATAAATAAGAGACATAATTATGGCCAGTTACAAATATGCATCACACTTATTTTAAGCTGTTACCTTCGTTATTCTTCTCAGATCAGATCAGATTCTAAACAATGGTGCAATATTCTTTTAAACACTATTAAAAAAATTTCACATGCATAAAAACACGGACAAGGAAGTTCAAAAACATGAACATTTCCCCCGCAAACGTCCACAAGCCCAACCAAAATAATCTTGTGGCTACCGCGATCTCTTACTTAAGGGAATCAATGTATTTGAAATGACAATATACTGATCAATTAACGTACACATTCCAAAACTACAGCAGCCTCAGACCTGCCGAGAGACCGCAGCAGGTGATACGGAACTAAACTGTGTCAAAAACATATTGTCTGCTAGCTTTCCGTGGAAGTCTCGAATACTCTCGCGAGACAGCCATGTGACCTACTTTTCCATGAAATTTTCGCCATGATGGCGCCAAATGAGTGCTATCGAAAATTTCCCCTGATACCAAATTTTGGAAATGATTGAACGATCGAAACGCAATTATGTTGAAAGAAGAAAGTTTGTAGATTAATTATAACGTATGGTCAAGGAGGTGAGAATCATTAGTGGTGGTTTAATGTTATCATGAATACGTAATTAGGTCGACACGAGCAGGTGGCGGTACACGAGCACGATGTCGATGTAAATAAAAACAAATGTTTCACTGTTATCTCTGTGTAGAAAACGTATATCCGCTTGACGGATCGGCACTTGTTACTGGTGTTCGCACACATGTAATTGTTAAACAGTTTATTGCTGTCTCAATATTGGACATTAAAATGCTGACCATGCAAGTCACTTATTGACACATGATACGATAAAAAACAAAACAATAATTGTGCTATGCTACTGTCATAACGGACTTGAATAATAACTGTAGTGACGAATTGTCATCTCATTGATGTTGCCATGATATTATGTAACTGCGTAAAGCTTTGGTCCATGGGATCTGATTTGGGTAAATGCAATAAGTAAAATGTGAGTAAACAAAAATCACACGTCATCTGTTATGATTGGCAGCTTAAATCTTTCGGTGGAATTATTACATTTGACTTAATAAGTTACTGTCCGTATGCAGATCAGTATTATTTCTAAGTTGATAATTGTTATTTAGCGAGTAAGTAAATGACATACAGATAGGATGCATTCATATGCACTTTGTTTATATCTATGATCATGTTTGTGAATTATGTTTCTAATGCCAACACAGTACTCTCTATAACGTCTTTAGGGTATACATTGTATAACTTGTTAGATTGTCATAACATATTATTAGACTTCTATGTCAAATTGTACACTAATGTTTAATAATTATGTTGATATTTTTGTTCGTTAGGCAAGACTATTTGATGCAAGTTAACATTTTGTCACCATCAGTGCAATCACAAGGATGACCCGTGTTCAATAAATGAATTTTTAATTCCTTTTCATTTTATGTTAATTATTTTGTATTTTTTGTGTGTAAGGCTTCTCATAACATGATAAAAGGACTTCTTTTTACAGTCAGAGTTATCTCCCTTTAAATAAGCCAATTAAAGGTTATTTTAAGTTATGCTGAGTTTATTAGAATAAATTAACATTAATCATGTTTGACACTGAAAAGCATTACTTTTATTGAATAAGTTGAATTGTCTGTCAGCAGGGTCAGGTCTGCTTGATTTTTCTTATTTGTTTCAATAGAAACTAAGCATTGACCAAACAGACTGAAAACGTTCTTTCAGCCATAATGCAATGGGAATCATTTAATAATTTCTATATTGATTGTGTAAGGTGTTAATCGACACTTCTTTATCCACATATAAAAAATATGTATCCTAGCAAAACCCTTGGCTGTCAAAATCACTAAAAGTCTTTGTATAAAGTACAATGACATTGATCATTGTTGGTAGTAAAGTAAATTTGCTTCAACATGATATATGATAAGAGTATAACTATAAGACTTCACATTTTCGTTATGGCACTATAATAAGCAGCAAAGATCAACATCTGATTTGAAGGGTTAATATTTTGCAGACCTTTTTGATTTTTGACGTGAGGTGAAAAAAGTACACTGTAATAACAGTTCATCCACCAGTGAATGAATAGAAGATATCTATAGTTTCTTGTCTGATTGTCTACCAAATATACTTCAGTAATGTTAGATTTATTTTGCCTCACAAGCTTGCTACGTTTATAATGAACATGCTTATAACATGTATAACCAACTGACTGATATAACGAACTGCTTTTTGGTCCCGTCCATTTGCTGTATATATGCTGCATATAAACTGATAACAAACTACGGTTATAACAAACTAAACTAAGTGGTCCCTTTGAGTTCATTATGACAGTAGTTTACTGTGTTTTACAAAATATATAATATTCATAACATTTGTTATGAATTCATCTTGATAAAAATTTGTTGTGCAAATTTAAGTTCAAGTCTTAACATATATTGTGGTGCCTAAATTTTAACCTTTAACCATGTTAACATAGATACCCCTTAAATTTGAAAACTGCTTCAATATTAGTGTCTGTGTAAACTTATAAAATCAATGAGATTGTTTTAATGGTGTTATGAGTGTCATGAGTGAGTAAGTGAGTTGGGTTTAACACCGCTTTTAACAGTATTTCAGTTATATCGCGGCGTGTCAGCTTAATGTGTGAGGAAAGCACAAAGTGATGCAGGTCTCAGATGTTTAACACTTCGGTGAAACCCACGAGAACGGGTATGGTACTGACAAACATAGAAACATAATTGGGGCAAACCGGGATTCGAACCCACAATCATAGGTTTCTGGCGTGCCCAAGGGACACATCTCTGCACAGTGAATGGCGGCGCCTGGGCCACCCATGCCCCCTATGAGTGTCATGGTGTTTGGTCATTCTCATGCTTTCACCAAGGCACAGTGATACATTCATGTACAAGGTTCAGTTATTTCTGTTCCAGAGATAGCCCAGGCTTTTACACCTTCACCATCAGACTGCTGCCATTGAAGCTCCAGACATCGCTACAACTATGATGTCAGCTACCAAAACCAAGAAGAGCAAGGATGTTGCCAGGGAAACAAGTCCAGGTAACTTGCCATACATCATTTGGGTTGGTAATTAATGATGTGCTAATAGACTGATTTGATCGATGTGTTTTTGGTGATATCAAATGAACAAGATTACCAATGTTTATGTTGTTTAATGATACCTTTTATATGAGAACAGTTCTGTACTTTGCTGATTACAAGTAGATAACAAAAGGACTAAAAACTAATATCAAATTAATGTTTTGAAGTTATTCACAACACTTCTAGTAATGAAGCATTTGTGCTTTGGTAAAATCTAACCTAGATCTTTGATGTTAAAAGATTAAAATCTATTTAGCATGATCAGGCAATGTGGGTTCTTTTAGAAATTGGTTTAGGGATCCATCGACCATAAAAAAATCAAAAGTGGAAATATAAATATAAAAAATGCATTGTTTATTTCTGTGCATTGTGAATACACACATCTTGTGCTTCTCATAAATTAGAATTTAAGATTTGCACAAACTGCTTCTTGATGTCTCAGCACTCGACATCTATAACCGTCTGAGACCAGACAATACATTTCAATATGTCCAGATAAAATATATCACTTTATTAATGCGAGCAAAGGACACTCGCAGTTTTTGCATTAATGTCATGGTCACATTAATGTCATGATTTACATTTTTTGTGTGACCTATAACATTGTATAACTTGAAAACTGCTGCATGGATTCTTTTCACATTTCGGGAACAGGTTTCATACTAATAGAAAATGTGTAGTACAAAGTTTGCTTTTGAGAAAATAAATTTTTCATGTTTGACCTATAACTTGAAAACTGCTTCATGGATTCTTTTCCAATTGTGGTTACAGTTTCTATACCAATAGGAGAGGTGCAGTGCGAAGTTTGTTATCAATATTTGTATTTTCTGGGGGGGGGGGGGGGGGAACAGCTATTTTTCACATAGATGTTTTTACTGAAACATTTGTGTGACCTGCAGCTAGAAAACTACTTCATGGATTCTTTTCAGATTTAGGGAATAGTTTCCTTACTAATAGAAGAGGAGCAGTGCAAACTTAAATTTGGATTATGTGTATTTTCTAAAAAAAGAAGACTTTTTTCATGTTTTGAACTTGGAAATTTCTTTGGGGACAAAGTCAGGTTGTTGGTGAGCCCTGCTCACTTTTTGTCTTGTTTATGTTGGTGACATGACTAGATTCTTAGGGATAACAATAGTCCTACCAAATTTTCACTAGTCTTGGTATTAAGTACTGTTTGAAATAAAATATTATTTAAGTTTTGGCCCTAACTTGTGATTATTTAGAGAAAGGCATGATTAGTGGCATACGGTATATCATCACAACAACTTTCTTACTAATTTGGCTAGTCACCTGCGCAATCCAATATCTATGAAAAGTAACTATTATTCATAAAAAACATGTTAGCTTGAAAAAAATGAAACAGATTGTACTGTGTTGTGACTGTCGCCTGGTGGTGCACATTGTGTGACACTTTTATTGCATAACTCCTGGCAGGTGTTCAAATACATGTGGCAACAGTGGGGTTGCCTCAAGATACATATGTTATAGGATTCATCAGTGAATTGGTGCCATAACAATATATTTTGAGGGGCATACAGAAATGGGTGCTGTCCATCTGTTACCATGGTTACGTTTTGTATTTGGAAACCGTATGATATTTTATTATGAAACACATACTGAACTGGTGCCTTTTGGTGGTTGGTATTTCTTTTTAAAAAGTGTTTGGTGTTTCCGTTGCAACAAGCTGGACCTACTCAAATATGTATACCATTCGTTTCCAGAGCACAACTCGGAAACCGTTCGATTTTTTATTATGTAACTTTGCATATGTATTAAACTCATGCTGAACTGGTACCTTTTGCTGTTTTATAAGAAGTTAGACTTGACCCAAATACAGTTTACTTTCGTTACCAGAGCGTTACCGAAAACCATATTGATTATAGTGTTCATTTCTGGATCATATCCTTAATTCTTTATCATATATTATCCATGAAAGTTTATACCCATATTAACTGAGTACTGAAATTGTCGTGCATTTTTGGATTTTCTTCAAAACGATCTACACAGGGCTGTCAGAGAACCAGGACCATTATTACCTAATTGAGATGTACAAGACATGTGAATGGTGAAAGATTCACAAATCACAATTTACAAGTGGCACCCAAACCAGCCTTCTTACTGGGTTTAATACATGTTTAGTGCTTGCAATTTAGCCATTCACAAAACGTTCCAGTGAGCTTGTCAAGACTTATGCCGTAATGTTTTTGTTCTGGAGTTACCCTCCCTTTCTCTGTGTATATTCACTACAATATGAACAAACAAAATTCTAATGTGCCCCATGGCGGCATCTTCATGAGGCAAGCTTGTCCACTAGCCAATATCAAGGCCTAGTTTCTGCCTGTCCCACATCAAGCCCACTTTACTTGGCTCGACCGTGGCGCCACCTCGCCTAGATCATGAGCTGTGTCCTCTTGTAATGAAAAAGCAATATCCAATCAGATCGCTGTTCTCGGCTTTAGTGGCCCTTGTTTATTTCTTGATAATATTGGGGCGGTCGGGTAGCCTACTTAAAGCGTTTGCTCGTCACGCTGTAGACCCAGGTTCGATTCCTGACATGGGTACACTGTGTGCAGCTCATTTCTGGTGTCCCCCACCGTAATATTGCTGGAATATTGCTAAAAGCAGCGTAAAACCATACTCATTCACTCTCGATAATATTGCTGATAGCGGAGTGCAACATCTTCATGACTGACCAGCGTTAGAAATTGGCACTAGTCCTGTAGCCTTTCCAAACTGCCCAGTAGTTAAGGTATCATAAGGATGAGTAGAAATTTGCCTTTTTAAGGGTTTTGCTATATGTTATCATTATAAGGACTTGTGGGCTAAAACTGTTCGTTTCCACCACTGCTGACAATTTCTGACTGGATTACTTTTGTTTGCTAGACTCTGGTGCTTATACGTCCCACAAGTCTAAGAGGAGGAGACTTAGTACTGATGATGAGGAAGACTCTGGATCTCCCAAAAGACGTAAGTACAACACTATTGGAAATATGATTTGATTTCCTGATTGGAGTAATGTGTTACACATATGCAGGATTTTTCTCTCTTCAAAAGTTCATGTAAAAAAGTTGCTTCACTCATGATTGGTTGATTAGTAAACATGGTGTATTTTGTATTGCAGCAACTAATCACCCCACCAGCAAGCTGGGTCACAATGGCCTGCGTAGTCCCACTTTCACACCACACAACAAGCCAGCCGAGGTAGGAGTACTAGTAGGGATGTAACCTCTCACCCAAATATATGTGCTGTACCACCATGTTAGTATTGTACTTTCCAACAAATCTGTCCTCAAGTGAGTGTTAGTAAATTTGCCCATGTTCACTCAGTGTGTGTGGCCAATTCTCTTATCACCAGAAATCTGTTAAAACTTGTGTACATTTTCTTTAAGTTAGGGCCCTGCTTAGAGAAGGTTTTGGTCAAGATTGGACAAAATTTCTAGGTCAGCATTGTGACGATGAATCTAATTGAAGTCAGATCTTTTACTTTTGATTTGATACTTCTCTGTTTGAAAGTCTGAGGACGCATCATAGGTTTTGTAGGGTGAACCCTGACTTAACATTGACTATCTAAATGAAGCATTCCTGGTTTCTTGAGCCAGTGAGATGTCAGCTTTCTGAAACAATTTAACTTCATTTCTTCCCTGCCTCAATTTGGAAATTTTCATCTCAGTAAAAGAAAACGGCCACTGAACACAAATGTGCTGTTGATGGTATACCCTTTTCAGTGTAGATGCCATGGCACACAGCAATGGTAGGATATATAATATATGAATATTGCAGTGCTGTACTGTTTTTGCATTGGAACATGCTGATAATATTTCATGCATCGAATGCACCGGTTTCATATCGAGAATAATGAAGCTTTGACACTGATTGGAAAGTTCATCTGACACAACCTCCTGTGGAGTTGTCCTCAGATCTTCACAGAGAGGACCAGTGAAGATCACGGATTGAATAGGTCTTTAGCAACCCATGCTTGCCGTAAGAGGCGACTAACGGGATCGGGTGGTCAGGCTTGCTGACTTGGTTGATGCATGTCATCATATTCCAATTGCATAGATCGATGCTTATGACATCAATCACTGGATTGTCTGGTCCAGACTTGATTATTTACAGACTGCCATCATATACCTCGACTATTGCCTAGTGTGGCGTTAAACAACAAACTTCACAGAGAGTCCTGTCAAAATAATAGATCAGATTTTAATGTAATTATTTAAAACATTGATATATCATTCTCAATTTTTGAGGCAGGCCAACCTCTACAGGCAGGGAAGTTCATGTTTACATGTTTCTTTAAAAATATTACCACATCAGATGTCAATTACATATCTGTCAAAAAAAGAACAGGTCACCTTGAGGTAATCGTGAACAGTAGTTGTATCATGCTTTCTAAACAAAGGGTATGCTACGGTACAATCGACCTCGGGAAATCTCTGAACCTCCGAGTTAAAATTGGTCTTCAGCAACCCATGCTTATCATAAGAGGCGACCAACGGGATCCAGTGATCAGGCTCGCTGACATGGTTGATGCATGTCATCGTATCCCAATCCCAGTCCATGCTCATGATGTCAATCATTGGGTTGTCTGGTCCAGTTTCGATTATTTTTAGAACACCGTCATTTTTCTGGAATATAGCTGAGTAAGGCGTTAGACAACAAACAAAACTTGTAATGTAATGCTCGTTCATATGTTCTTTCCCACCTATCTTGGCTATATGAATTCTTGTCTTTGCTATAGCTTTTCCGGAAAGACCTGATTAGTGCAATGAAGTTGGCAGACTCGGAGCCATTGCAACAGGACTACATCTTCATCTCGGACCCCTGGAGACAGGAGTGGGAGAAGGGGGTGCAGGTGCCTGTCAACCCCGGGGAAATACCTGATATCAGCATTAAGTACGTACATTCATACCAACATGACTTAGGAAATGTGTGGATGTCCCTCAAACACAAGGCCCAGTGTGTATTCCCGGTCCGAATACCTCCCCAGTATCAGTGCTGGATGTAAGAACCAGCTGAAATAAGGAGTTGCAGCGTTAGAAATTGGCACTAGTCCTGTAGACCTTACCAAACTGCCCAATAGAAAAGGTATCCTACCCACTAGTAGAAATTGGCACTAGTCCTGTAGTCCTTACCAAACTGCCCAATGGTAAAGGTATCCTAACGACTAGTAGAAATTGGCCCATTTTAAGGGTTTTGATATAGTATATGTTATCATTATAAGGACTAGTGGACAAAAACTGTTAGTTTCTAACCCTTAGTTGTAAGTCCCAATAGCCTTCATGGTACCTGAGTAACCTCGGTGGCATGGGTTCTTGGTGGGGCTGACAGTGAGTGGTGTCCTTGGCCATCACTGCACCATTAAGCAACACTCACAGGGAGACCGGGATAGGCCACTAGTCTTTCAGTGGCAGACTAGTGAAAGTCGAGAGGAATGGTAGTTTATCCCCAAATCTAGTTATTTTACATCAACCAGTAGTCCTAATGAGTGACGGACAAGTTAGATATAACCAGTGGTGTCTACCCCTGGAAGATGGTAAATACCTGAGGACTATGTTGTCTCTTTTGACATCGACTTGTGTTGTTGGGTTTGCTGATAAAGTGTGCCCCCTCCTCTTCCTCTCTCTTCCCCCCCCCCCCCCCCAAAAAAAAAACAAAACCAAAACAAACCCCCCCAAAAACAAAACAACACGTTTTTAGAAGTTAATATAAAACCAGAATTGTCTTGATCACACATATAAGCATGCCTGGAGACAGCTAACTGATTCTATCTGTACTCTGCCACACATACACTGACACTGTATTCTTCCATCCACAGGACCTTGTATGAGAAGCCGATAACAGGGGACTTCAAAATGTAAGTTGGGTATATAAACCTGTGGTTAAGCATTCTCTTCACACAAAACAGCCAGCTACTATTCCCCGTGTGAAGCTCGTTCTTGGTGTCCCTATCTGTGCTAGTGCTGGAGTAGTGCCAACAGCTGCAGGAAACCTGAATTCCCTGATGGACCAGTATTTGTGGGATAGTCGGCAGTGAAAACAGCTGTATAAGAGTATATGATATACTGCTCAACTTTTGATTGGGAAAATCAAATACATCACTCTATTCAAATATGCACTTGGCATACTATGGGTATAGGAATTACTCTGTGTCATGGAAAAATGAAAATACCCCTATCAACAGATTGGGTTTCTGCAGTGTTTAAGATACCCTCCTGCCCGACAATTAAAGACAGGTTGTTTTTGTCTTCGAAGATCAACTTTTACAAAATGCACACCCAATAGTCTGTGTGGATTTCTTTTTGGAGTTTCGGGTAATGAAATAAAGTACATGAACTGACATCATGAGTGGCACCTATTTAAAGAAAATAGAATTCAGAACCTGCTTATGCTTGGAAAAATAATTGAGTTCCTAAACATACAAAGAAATATGCTGATCTCCAAAAACATCCTGGACCACAGAAAATGAAATGGTTGCGGCACCGGTATCAGACAAACTCTAGCACCGGTATCAGACAAGCACTAGCACCGGTATCAGCCAAGCACTAGCACCTGTACTGAACATCGCATTCAAAGAAAAAAAAGTTAACAGTAATAAGTCAACTCTGTCCACATCATGATAAACCTGATGTATTGGTGACAGGTGTAAAGCATTGTGATGACTGTTGGTAACCTTGACATCTCAGAAAGGATGCACCTTTTACATGGTTAGACCGTCTCCGTGGTCAGCTCGGTATTTAGGGTCTAAAATATGGACTGGTCGGATCGGAGTCAGAATTCTTTGTCTGAGTGGAGTATTCGTGTTAAACTGCAGCATTGTTTCTCAGTGGGCTAGCACTATAAAATCGGCATCAGTCCGGACAAGTACAAGCAGCCACATACACACACACGTGCATGCACGTTGCTATATAACTGCAGTAATCTTTGACGCGATGTTAAACCCAATTTCACCCCACCTTTTACATAGTTATGACAAGGTAGATCTTTTCCAGACCTCGGAAATACCTCCATGCCACACAGGATGAGACTTTTCGCCAGGGTATTCACGAGTTGACGGGCATGCAACAGTTGTCAGAGCAGGTGGTGCGGTACGACCTTGACGACCTGGACGTGTCCTGGCTTGAGCTGGCCAACGAGGAGCGAGAAGAAATGGGTGTGTACAGAGATGCTAATAATAACGGTACCTTATATATATCAGGCTGAAGTCATTCAACCTCATCAATCCAGTCTTTGACTTAACTAATCCCTTCGTTTTTTCACTAGTCTCAGTCTAACATGGGTTTCTGGGTTAGAACAGATCCCCAGCTACCTATTCTGGTCGTAAGATCGGGTGGTCAGGCTCCGGTGTCTTGGTTGATTGCAAGTTGTCATATCGCGACTGCATGGATTGGTGCTCATAATATCAATCACTGCCTGGTCCAGAATCCGTTATTTATGGTAGTCATCATACACCTGGATTATTGTGGCGTTAAACATCAGCAGCAACAGATGCCAATATATAACCCAGTTGTGTAAATATCATGGGCTGACATTGGTCTTACGACTGTAGAATTGGCCACCCCTAATTTTTTCATGACCCTGCCCCCACTCCGCCCCTCCCCTATAATAATTGACCAGTTCCTAGATTAAATGTGATATCAGAACCAACAGATGACAATTGATGACAGATTAGTTTATCATATGACAGGTTACCGTAAGCCAACATTACGCAATAAAAAGTTAAATAAATATGAAACAAATATCATGTATTTTTGATGAAACAACTAAATCAAGTGACCGTTAAATAATGTCTTATTACCATTGTTCCAGGGCTGCTTCCTGTTCATGAGTGGACAATGGAAAGAGTCATAGAAGCTTTTGAATCTCAGGTAATTTCTACTTACAAACACAACAAAATGCTCAACATTAGCCAGTTAGCCTCATGATGATTTTCAAAACATTATCATGTGGGCTGTTATTGTCTTAGTTAACAAGGCTGATGGTGTATGTTGATGTCTTATGATGGTGCTTGTATGCTGATGCTGCTGTATGTTGCTGTAGATGGTGTTGTATGTTGACATTGATGCTGCTGTATGTTGATGTAGGTGATGCTGTATTTTAATGTAGATGCTGCTTTGTTGACGGTGATGTTGCTGTATGTTGACGAAGATGCTGCTGTATGTTGACGTAGATGCTGTTGTATGTTGATGTAGATGTTGCTGTATGTTGATGTAGATGTTGCTGTGTTGACATAGATGTTGCTGTGTTGACGTAGATGTTGCTGTGTGTTGACGTAGATGCTGCTGTATGTGACATAGATGTTGCTGTATGTTGACGTAGATGCTGCAGATGCTGCTTTATGTTGATGTAGATGTTGACATCTGTTGATGTAGATGCTGCTGTATGTTGATGTAGATGTTGACATCTGTTGATGTAGATGCTGCTGCATATTGATGTAGATGTTGACATCCGTTGATGTAGATGCTGCTGCATGTTTATGTAGATGCTGCTGTATGTTGATGTAGATGTTGACATCTGTTGATGTAGATGCTGCTGCATGTTGACGTAGGTGCTGTAGATGCTGCTGTATTTTGACATAGATGCTGCTGTATGTTGACGTAGATGCTGTTGTATGTTGACGTAGATGGTGCTGTATGTTGACGATGCTGCTGTGTGTTGACGTAGATGTTGCTGTGGTGACGTAGATGTTTCTGTGTGTTGACGTAGATACTGCTGTATGTTGATGTAGATGTTGACATCTGTTGATATAGATGCTGCTGCATGTTGATGAAGATGTTGACATCTGTTGATGTAGATGCTGCTGTATGTTGATGTAGATGCTGCTGTATGTTGATGTAGATGCTGCTGTATGTTGATGTAGATGTTGACATCTGTTGATGTAGATGTTGACATCTGTTGATGTAGATGCTGCTGCATGTTGACTTAGATGTTGCTGTATGTTGACGTAGATGCTGCAGATGCTGTATGTTGACGTAGATGTTGACATCCGTTGATGTAGATGCTGCTGTATGTTGACGTAGGTGCTGTAGATGCTGCTGTATTTTGACATAGATGCTGGTGTATGTTGATGTAGATGTTGCTGTGTTGACGTAGATGTTGCTGTGTGTTGATGAAGATGCTGCTGTATGTTGATGTATGTTGACATCTGTTGATGTAGATGCTGCTGTATGTTGATGTAGATGCTGCTGCATGTTGACGTAGATGTTGATGTATGTTGACTTAGATGCTGCAGATGCTGTATGTTGACATCTGTTGACATCTGTTGATGTAGATGTTGACATCTGTTGATGTAGATGCTGCTGCATGTTGATGTATATTGACATCTGTTGATGTAGATGCTGCTGTATGTTGATGTAGATGTTGACATATGTTGACGTAGATGCTGCTGCATGTTGATGTATGTTGATGTAGATGCTGCTGTATATTGTTAGATGTTGACATCTGTTGATGCTGCTGCATGTTGATGTAGATGTTGACATCTGTTGATGTTGATGCTGCTGCATGTTGACGTATGTTGACATCTGTTGATGTAGATGCTGTTGTATGTTGATGTAGATGTTGACATCTGTAAATGTAGATGCTGCTGCATGTTGATGTAGATGTTGACATCTGTTGATGTAGATGTTAACGTATGTTGACGTAGATGTTGCTGTGTGTTGACGTAGATGCTGCTGTGTGTTGACGTAGATGCTGCTGTATGTTGATGTAGATGTTGACATCTGTTGATGTAGATGTTAACGTATGTTGATGTAGATGCTGCTGCATGTTGATGTAGATGCTGCTGCATGTTGATGTATGTTGACGTAGGTGCTGCAGATGCTGCTGTATGTTGATTTAGGTGCTGCTGTATTTTGACATAGATGTTGCTGTATGTTGACGTAGATGCTGTTGTATGTTTACGTTGATGCTGCAGATGCTGCTGTGTGTTGATTTAGATGCTGCTGTATTTTGACATAGATGTTGCTGTATGTTGTTGCAGTGCCATGAGAAGATCAAGGAGATCATGAAGACGGAGGAAGGGCTTGGCATCGAGTATGATGAGGATATTGTGTGTGAAGTGTGTCGATCGGTGAGTTGTCCATCATGAAATTCAGGGAAAGGATCAGTGGCACCAAGCAATATCTTTCTTTCAATTTTGTGGCCCTCCGAGGGCTTGTTATATTATATGGTGCACACACACTGTCTCGCTAAAGTATAGAGATATCAATACAACATGATTGCCGAGTTGGTGTCACCCATGTTAGTTATAACTGGAATCAGATTATGTGACCTTCTAAAGACCTGGGGGCGGTCAGGTAGCTGAGTGGTTGAAGCGTTCGCTTGTCACGCCGAAGACCCGGGTTTGATTCCCGACATGATTACAATGAGTGAAGCCCATTTCTGGTGTCCCCTACCGTGATATTGCTGGAATATAGCTAAAAGTGTCATAAAACCATACTCACTCACTCACTCACTCACTCACTCACTCACTCACTCACTCACTCACTCACTCACTCACTCACTCACTCACTCACTCACTCACTCAGGGGTAGAAACTAACATATTTAGTCCACTAGTCCTTTTAATAACATATAGCAAAACCCTTGAAAATGACAAATTTCGACTGGTCCTTATGATACCTTTACTATTGGCCAGTTTGCCAAGGACTACAGGACTAGTGCCAATTTCTAATGCTGCTTGTTTTATATTGCACTCACACTGTCGGCAAACCTTAGAGATATCAATACTACGGAATAGCTGATTAGCTGTCTCCTGATAAAGGTATGACTGTATATCAGATACTGATTGTCTGTTTCGGTGAAAGTAATTATTTATTGTTGTGTTTCAGCCTGACAGTGAGGAGACCAATGAGATGGTTTTCTGTGATGGCTGTGATATTTGTGTTCATCAGGTAAGTACCAACAAAACTGGTATTTTCACAATGGTTGTGTGTATTATGATGTATTTTCTTAACATCAAACTAAACCATTGTTATTGATTTATGTATACTTTTGCTTATTTAAATATGTCTTCTGAAAATAGACACGACACTTGCCCCATTGTTATCTCTTTTGTATCTGGAGCACAACTTCAAAACCGTGAAGTGTTTTTACATGTATTAATCAGGGGCTGAAGTGGTGCCTTTTGCTATTCAGGAATTTTAGAGGGGGAAAAATTCCTGTTTCCATGGCAACAAGTTTGACTTTGACTTTGTTAATAGTGATGTGTTTGTCTGGACCATATCTCTAAAACTATTAAGTATTCTTTCCTGACACTTTGCAAACACAAAAGCCAGGGTGCAGTTTTACAAAGTGATCTTAGCGCTAAGATGATCGTAACTCCCATACTTAACTTACGACAATCATACTGCAAAGATTGTTTTGTACAATCATAACCAGGTTGTCAAATGTTGCCTTTTGCTATTAAGGGATTTTGAGGGGGGGGAAATTCTGTTTCCATGGCAACATGTTTGACTCTATATTTGTGTGTACCTGACATAGAAATTCAAACTTACAAATCCCAATTCCACGGTACTGTTTTGATAGCTCAATAACTACTCTTGTATACGGACAGAGAGTTTAGATAAGACTTCTCTCATCAATTTGGACTAAGTAACAGTCAGATGATTTGTTCTTTCAAATTTGTGGGGTCCAGTGGGATTTGTCATCTCCTGATGACTCTTGTTTACTTGGTGCTGTAGGCGTGCTATGGCATACAGAACATCCCAGAAGGTCGTTGGCTGTGTCGGACATGTTCCCTCGGCATCAAACCCACCTGCATCCTGTGTCCCAAGACTGGAGGAGCTATGAAGAGCACAAAGTAAGTTATCATTCATTGAAGGATGTATGAATAAAAACTGCTTCAAAAAGCTTGTGGGGCGGTCTGGTAGCCTAGTGGTTAAAGCGTTCGCTCGTCACGCCGAAGACCCGGGTTCGATTCCCCACATGGGTACAATTTGTGAAGCCCATTTCTGGTGTCCCCCGTCGTGATATTGCTGGAATATTGCTAAAAGCGGCGTAAAACCAAACTCACTCACTCACTCAAAAAGCTTGCAGCCATGTTTGTCAACATGTTTCGGCAACACATTGGAAAAACCCTAGCTAAAAAGTGTATCGGGAACGTGAGTCAATAGTTTATGGAGAAAGAAGGCAGGTTGAAAGTAGTTCCTACTGGGTAACTTCATTTTCTTATTTATCAGATCATGATACCAAATTTATTGGATTGGTTTATTGCATCGATAACACGAGTCCTTGTTTGATAAGTTTGATTGTGTTGACATTGCCTGATGTTGGGACATGGTGTTGTTTGTACAGGAGTGGTACTAAGTGGGCCCACGTGAGTTGTGCCCTGTGGATCCCAGAGGTCAGCATCGGCTGTGTAGAAAAGATGGAACCAATCACAAAGATCTCAAATATTCCAGTAAGTATACTTGGTCATAACTTTTCACTGCTTTTGCTTGTTACAGTTATATGTTGTTGATGAAAGAATAAACTGTTGAAGCATGTTAATAGAAGAAAAATAATTCTAAATGTGAATATGTTTGAATTTGTATTGGCACTTTAAGGGGAAAAGGCAAGGTCATGCAGAAATCCAAAGATTGCTCTATAATATAATTATCCCGATATTTTAAAAAGAAAAGGGGTTGGTATGGCGATCCCTGATCACTATGTCCATCCGTCTATCTGTCCTCTTTCCGTTTCCAGAGCAGAACCCCTTCTTAATGATACTTGCTATACAGATCAGTCTAGTAGCAAACTGGTGCCTTTTGATGTTTGGGGATATTGAAAAATGCTATGGGGAAGGTATCTAATGGCAATGGACACAAAGTGTGGTATAAGTAGCCACACTTCCAAATTGCACCAGAACGGGGATATGTCACCTCCTGATGACACTTGTTGTGGGGGAACGTAGTGGTTAAGGCGTTCATTTGTGGTGCTGAAGGCCGAGGTTTGATTCCTTATATGGGTACAATGTGAGGTTAGGTATAATGGGGTTTAAGATTGCGTTCAAGATGTTTGCACTAATATAGTGATGTGTGTGGTGTCGGTGTTGGGCTGCTTGTTCTAGTCCAGACTAATGCCAGGTTTAGAGTGCTAGCTGAGATACCATGCTACAGTTTGAACTTGGATACCTCACACCCACACAGTATACCGACTCCAAACCAATCAGTCTTTGTTTTATCCCCTTAATGCTGAGCACCAGGCAGGGTAATAACAAGTTCCATCTTTTAACATCTTTTGGTTTATCACAACTGTTGTTTGAACCAGCAACCTTTCGCTCTTGGGAACAATGTCTGAAGCCCATTTCTTGTGGCCCATCTTATTGCTGGAACTTTGATAAAAGTGATAAAAGTTTTAAATAGTACAAATCATGCCCAATCAAATAGTACACGAATCAAAAGAAGTTAAAGATTCTTTCCTATTACTTTTGTAAATTTGCCATGGTGTGACAGATTTAGGGCAGTGATATAAAAGAATTGGGCGTTCTTTAACTTCATTTGGTGGTACTTTTTGTTGGCCCTTGACTTCTACTTTTGATTTATCACTGGGAAATACTTTCTGTTTTTTCCGTATTTTCTATTTTAGACATCTATGTTTGCAATTTCCAATTGTGGAAGGAGGTGACAATGTGTTTTTGTTGCAGGCAAGTCGGTGGGCATTAGTCTGCTGTGTGTGTAAAGACAGAGTGGGCGCCTGTATCCAGTGTTCAGTCAAGACCTGCAAGACGGCCTTCCATGTAACCTGTGCCATATTCAACGGGCTGGAGATGAAGACGATCCTAGATGAGAGTGACGAACAGGATGGAGTCAAGCTTAAGGTGAATAGGGTGGTGGGGTAGCCTAGTGGTTAAAGCATTCGCTTGTCACGCCGAAGACCCAGGTTCGATTCTCTCTCTCTCTCTCTCTCTCTCTCTCTCTCTCTCTCTCTCTCTCTCTTTTTGTCTTCTGATCTCTGTCTACATTAAACTCCCCCCCTCTCTCTATCTGTATTTCTCTCTCTCCCGTCTCTCCCTGTCTCTCTCCCACACACACTACCCCCTCTCTCTCTCTTTCTATCTATCTCACCTCTTTCTCTCTTTTTGTCTTCTGATCTGTCTACATTTAACTCCCTCTTTATTTCTCTCTCTCTCTCTCTCACGCCGAAGACTCAGGTTCGATTCCCTGCTCTCTCACTCTCTCTCTCTCTCTCTCTCTCTCACACTCACTCACTCACACTCTCTCTCTCTCACTCACTCACTCACTCACTCACTCTCTCTCTCTCTCTCTCTCTCTCTCACTCACTCACTCACTCACTGTGAATACCAGTAACTGCAAGGAAGTGGCTGTTTGTCCAGTACACAGTCTGTGCCAAAAGCTTTTGAGTCCACTAGCTCGTACTTGGCTCTTACCATAGTTTTCAGAAATAATGTTGACTACTATTAGCTGAGCTCACTAGATCAAACAGAATTTTACTTGACTCTAGCATTGGACAAGTGGCTGAAGGCACAGACTGAGTGTGTGAAGCAGGAACTTGCTCACTGCAAACTGTGTCATCCAATGGGTATTTTGTGGCAGAATTGTCCTCAAGTACCCAGTACTCATCTCACAGACCCCAGGACCCCTTGTCTATCACTGAGGTGGTAACAATTTGGGTCATGGCTGACTGTTATACCATGATGTCATAGATTATTGATAACGACCCCTGTTTTTTGACGGGGCTAGAATCATTATTAGAATTTAAAGTTCTGGATTGAGTGGCTTGTTAGACTTGGATTTGTGAAAGCCATACCGTAGGACCAGTGTTGTGAAGTAAGTCTTATATGTTATGACTCATGTCTCAAATTATGTTTTCCAGGCATTCTGTCCTCGTCATAGCAAGAAACGAGAACGGAGTCAGTCTGATTCGGAACCAGATTCTCCGCGGAAAGATGCTCCTTTGACACCGAGGAAAGATCTCAGCAAGGAAGAAGTGGCCAACCTGAGAGCTAAAAAGTAATTTACATCTGAATGACTTAGATCTCGACTTGATATTGCACCTTTTTGGTGCCATAATTTACTGTGGAAAGTTGGGTCCCTCGAGCACGCCAGAAACCTACTAATGTTTGCCCCGATTACGTTTGTCAGCCCCATACCCATGCTCGTTGGTTTAACCACAGTGGTAAACATCAGAGACAAGCTGAAAACCTGACAATCTGGGTTAGAATAGGCCTTTAGCAACCCATGCTTGTCATAAGAGGTGACTAACAAGATTGGGTGGTCAGGCTCGATTATTTACAGACTGTTGTCTTTTATCTGAAATATTGCTGAGTGCGGCATTAAACAACAAACAAAGAAATAGACCAATGTAACTGGAATACTGTGCAAAGTGTCATTACACCCAACTCGCTCATTACATTAGTCGCTGACCTCCAGTCATCTGGGGGCGGTTGGGTAGCCTAGTGGTTAAAGCGTTGGCTCGTCACGCTGAAGACCCGGGTTCGATTCCCGACATGGGTACAATGTGTGAAGCCCATTTCTGGTGTCCCCCGCCGTGATATTGCTGGAATATTGCTAAAAGCGGCGTAAAACCATACTCACTCACTCACTCCAGTCATCTGACCCCCATTGGGGATTCTGGGTAAGAATAGGTCCCCCGTAGCCTCTATTGGTAGTAATAGGCAACCAAATGAATCGTGTGGCTTGGTGACTTTGTGGGTCTTTGTACTCTGTGGCGTGAATCATTGTTCACAATAATGATAACTGGATTGTCTGGTCCAGACTAGATTATTAACAGGCCACCATCTTAGAGCTGTAATATTGCTGAGTGTGGCATTGAAACAAATAATGCATGCATGCATGCATGCTTCATGTGATGGAGATGAAAATGCCAAAGTTGGTTTAGTGTAGGGGAGGATGCTAATGTATGTGTGCTGTTGCAGGATGTCTGAGCTCCAGAACAGCTTCTACAATGTTGTTGACACCCACAGCATCGCTGTGCACCTGTCTGTGGAGGATGAGGTGGTCGAGATGATGGAGGTGTACTGGAAACTCAAGAGAAAGGTGAGAACATGACATAAATACTACTCACAAATTGGGGCGATCGGGTAGCCTTGTGGTTAAAGCGTTCGCTTGTCACGCTGAAGACCCGGGTTCGATTCCCAACATGGGTACAATGTGTGAAGCCCATTTCTGGTGTGCCCCATCGTTACATTGTTGGAATATTACTCAAAGCGATGTAAAACCTCACTCACTCACTCTCACAAATTCATAACTTAAGCAATCATATATACGAAACTGTATATGATTGCATTATAAGAATTACAGAGAGGTCTCCTTAACCACATTCCTGATTTCTTGAATTTTGAAATTCAGAGTAACTTCGACAAGCCGCTGTTGATGCCAAAGACGGAGGAGGCTGACATGTTGGAGAAGCAGCAGGAGGACTCGCTGGTGGCTCGCATGAAGATGTTCGTGCATCTCCGACAAGACCTGGAGAGGGTGAGGCATCTACTTTGCTTGTTGCCACAGTAAACTGTTGTGTGTTTTGATATCACAGTGATTGCACTGCTGTGGGGACCTCGGTGGGAAGATGTGTGTCTGTGTGTGTGCTTGTTTGTTTGTTAGACGCCACACTCAGCGACATTCTAGCTATTTGACAGCAGCCTGTAAATATTTAAGTTTGGACCAGACAATCTAGTGATTGATACTGTTCAGAATGATCCACGTTGTTGGGGTACATTGACACACCATCAACCAAGTCACGAAATCTGACCACCCAACCCAGTAAGTCGTGTCTCACGACCAGCACAGGTTGTTTAGGCCCACTTCCAACCCGAATCCCCAGGGTTAGAATAGATGCCCTACACCCTGTTACTGGTAGAAAGTGATGACTAACTTTGATCAGCTGGTCAGGCTTGGTGACCTTGTTGATTGTTTGTCATCATACCCCAGTAGCAATTGACATTCATTCTTTCAGTCAGTGGTTTATCTGACTCCATCTACAGACTGATGTCATAATGCTGATATTTTGCTGACTACGGCAGAAAACAAACCAACATTGCTATTTTGTTTATACTTGTGATATGTGTCCTATTATAATGAAAGGATTATTTCAATAATTAAGGAATTAATTGAGTTTAAGAAGTAGACACTGTTCTATTGTTCTGTGGTATTTAGTTTAACTTCCATGTTAATCGAAATTTATGTTGATGCTCCAAAAAGCCAAATAATTGGACAGTATATTAAGTAACACAATTACGTTTGTTATTTATTCCTTGTTCATTTCAGGTGCGCAACTTGTGCTACATGATAAGTCGTCGTGAGAAGACCAAGCGCCAGTACTACAAGGCAAGGGAAAGTACTTTCCTGGCTACTGTGCACACACTGACTGAAGAGAAACTTAACCTTTCTGCCAGGGAAGCTGAGAAAATAGCAAAGAAGTACACCCAAAACTGTCTGTATGAAGGCTATGCGTCCACAGATAAGCCAAGGGTAGTGAGCCAGCTGTTTCATGACCATAGTATATTGTCACCGCCTTGGCTAGGCGAGGACAGTGAAAGTTTAGACAGTGACAGCAGGGATGCTGGGGGATCATTTCGAGGGAGGTTGTCCTCCAAGGGCAGCCTTTCTGGCCGGAGTGAGAAGGACAAAAGTGAAAAGGACTCTGGAAAAGATTGGCCTGACAAGCCAGGTATCAGGGAATTATCGGACAAGCACAGCGGTAAGGACGGGACTGAAAGAGATCACAGTGAACAACGTGGGAAAGAGAGAACGGAAAGGCGTAGTGGGAAAGATTATGGTGAGAGAGTTAGTGGGAAAGAAAAGTCAAGGCAGCCAGCGAAAGAGGATGTCCTTATGAAAAGTATTGTAAATAAAGACAGTCCAAAGATCCAGTCTGAAAAGTCAGGGAAAGAGAAAGTGGAGAGTGTTAAAGTTCATTCAGAAAAGTTGGGCAAAGAGAAAGATAGTTTAAAAGTTTATTCTGAAAAGTCAGGGAAAGAGAAAGATAGTTTAAAAGTTTATTCTGAAAAGTCAGGGAAAGAGAAAGATAGTTTAAAAGCTTATTCTGAAAAGTCAGGGAAAGAGAAAGATAGTTTAAAAGCTTATTCTGAAAAGTCAGGGAAAGAGAAAGTGGAGAGTGTAAAAGTTCATTCAGAAAAGTCTGGGAAAGAGAAAGATAGTTTGAAAGTGTATTCAGAAAAGTCAGGGAAAGAAAGTTTAAAAGTTCAGTCTGAAAAGTCAGGGAAAGAAAGTTTAAAAGTTCAGTCCGAAAAGTCAGGGAAAGAAAGTTTAAAAGTTCAGTCTGAAAAGTCAGGGAAAGAGAAAGCAGAGGGTGAAAAGATTTATTCTGAAAAGTCAGGGAAAGAGAAAATGGATAATCATAAGGGTCATTCTGAAAAGTTTGGGAAAGAGAAAGTGGAGAGAAGGGACCAGGAGGAGAAGGTTTCCAGGAGGGAAAAATATGATCGACAAGGAGGGAAAGATGGTGAGAAATCAAGAGAAAGACATTTTCGACAAGAAGGCAGTGACTCAGGGGAAAAGTTGGAGAAAGACTGTCATGTTTGGAAGGACACGAGTGAGAAATTGTTACGGTGGGAGAAACCAGAAAGAAGAGCAGTTCGGGAACCTGCAGGTGACAGTGTGAAAATCAAGGCTGATTCAGACAGTTTTGAAATGGAAGTACCTTGTGAAAAGAGTAAGTCTGATGATACAACTGTGAAAATGGTCCGAGATAAGAGTGAAAGAACTCGAGGTAAGGGTAAGGAGAAGGTGGAACCTCTGTCAGAGAGTGAGATGGTTGATGTTGTTGCCGTCGACCCACCTGTTGTAAGTGCCAGTTTCCATCCTAACATTGAAACACGGGTTGAAGTCAAGCCAAAAGTAGAAACTTCTGTGTTTGATTCCGAACGTCCACGACGGTCACAGCGGGAGAATAGGCATCAGATTGAAATGCCCAAAGTGGATGTGTCGCCGTCACGATTGTCCATACCAGATGCTATCTTAGTGGAAGAAGCCCCACAACCTAAACGGGAATCGAGGAAGGAGAAACATCGACGACGTGGTCACAAACATAGGCGGGGTGAACATCGATCCCCTGACAAAAGAAAAGATGTGACTTTATCTCTGACTCGAGACCGTAAAAAGACTGAATGCATAAAACCTGAAGTTAACGGTGTCCTAAGGAAGTCAAGCAAGTATATTGTAGATGTGTCGGTCAAGGAGAGAGTACAGAATAAACTGCTCAAGTCGAGAAAATTACGTTATATGAATGGTGTTGAGGACAAGTCGCTGCAGAAACTTGATAAATATTTTCAAATAAAGTCGGAAAGTGAATCTGGTAATACCAAATCTTCACTGTCCTTACGTGCGGGTAATCGTATTCTTAATGAGATATCCCCTGACAAAGGGAAAGTCCCATTTGAAAACAATTTGTTTGGTGCGCATTATACCCCTAGGGGAAGCCTCAGTGGGTACAAGATACCCAAGAAGGGAGACAGTGCTGAACACACACCCCAGAAAACCCAAAGTCCATGTGAGAAGAGTGAGGAGCAGTTGGAGGATTCTAAATCAGGGGAGATGAGAAGCTCACGCAAGAAAGATACTGGGTTCGGTGGCGGTGTAAAGAGAGACATTTTTGCCACAGGATTTGATGCATTGAGTACAGATTCTGAGTTTACCAAAGACATGGAACTAGTTTCGGATTGTCGGGGGTACCGGTCTCACTCCCCGTTGTCTAGCGAGGGGACCGATGTATCGGAGCCTGGGCGTCGTCCAGACTCCAGGGAGAGCACGCCAAGACGGGTGACGCGCAGCCAACTTGTAGATGTTGATGAAAATTCAGTAGATAGTGTTCATTCTCCAAGAAGCAATATGAAAATCCGGTTACGTGAAGGATGGCTTCGGCCTTCGAACTTTGCCTCATGACAGTAAGGAGTACAATTATTGCATTTGTCCAAGGCAAGAGGCAACTTGTGTATGCAGTGTCGGTCAAAAGTGCTATTATGAAAAACTGGTCTTGAGCAGTGTTATTTATATTGCAAAGTTAGTATGCCCCCAGCTCTGTCCACCAGTTTTGTTGGCCTTGATGTGGCAATGGAGTTTATGTACAGTTCATTCATTTTGACAAACACAGTTTATTTAAATCGTGTATACTGAACAAAATAGGATAGGGATCAGGAATATTTTTGGGAATATTCGTTTTGATGTGAAGACTGAAAACACAATTTCTTAAAAATATGCCCAAAAATATTCATGATCCCTGACTATTTTTGCTCAGTATATAAAGGATGCCAAAAAACGCAACACTTGCTTAGGATCACATGAGTGAAGATGACCATTTTGGTCCTCAGCAAATGTTGAGTAGTACAAGTCTCGTGTACATGGTATACAACTTGTGTGCAGGTTGATCAAGTGACACCATCTACACTGAAGGACTTACCTTTGTAGAAATGCAAGGGCTAGCCGAACTGTTCTTAGTGACATGTTTAATGAACATAAAATGTATTATGTTTTTTGTAAAATATCTGGTAGCAATGCAGGTTAGACCTGACTCCTTCAAGCTGTATTTTGAATTCGTAAGTGGTATTTACCAATAAATCCATGTCCTTCAAGAAATCAGTGGTCTTGGTACTGTTGTTTTTTTTCCAACACAAGGTATATGTTTCTGCTTCAGTAATCCCTGGTAATCTTACTTGTCAAAGCCTTGTTTGTCATGTGATGTTAGTCATTTTGAGAGCATCATCCAACACACTAGAGGTATATTGTACACAAAATTGTTTCACTGTTCCCGCTGTACATAGGACCCACCAGCCAGAACATGCACAAAGCTCCCTAGGCGTGTAACAGAGCAATCCATTCCTATAGAGGGGTTGGGGGCCATCAAGCTTCCTCGTCCTTTAATAGAGCAGTCCATTTCTGTAGAGAGGGAAGCCCCAGTTCATGGTCATATGTTAGAGGGAACATGAAAAGTTTGGTGTAGATTTTAGAGAGGACTTGTAAGCTGAACTGTTCAGAAAATTGACAGAAATTGTAAGGTTTGCACAGGCTTGAAAAGAAATGTAAATTGGATTTTACCTTGAACAGGCTTTTGAGATGGGTAATGTGCCTATATAAGGCCTTGAATTTTCATAACCAATCCCAAACTCATTATTTGATGATAAAGGTCTCTTCATGGTTTGAAAAAATCAAAACAGTTGAAATTTGTTTAAAACTTTGTATTTTGTCTGTTTATTGTTGGTCACCATGAAGTACTTGTCCTTCAAGTGATTGTATCTTCAATAGAGTTGAACATGCCTTTAAACCGATGTTGGGTCTGAAACAAACCATGGTTTCATATGGTGGGATGGTGGTGGCAAGGTGACATGATTCTTACCAGGCAGATTTTGAAGAAACCTGGCCTACATGGCCTCTTTTTGAGGTAGAAAGCCTTGCATGGACCTTGAGTTTTGTGACTGAAATTCTGAAGGACCCTGTTTAGGCTTTGGACTGATAGATAAATTGTCCGACTGTAGCTTGGGCCAGTTGTTTCATACAGTCCGCATGGCCAGGCCTGCTGAGTTAGGACCAGCTTCTGGTGCCTCTACTTGCTTGGAGGGTGGTTTATGAGTAGATCTGGGTAAAAGATTAGCACTTTTTGACAGGAGTTACCTCTGCTTTAGAATCTCAGCCCAGATTATCCGGTGGTTATATTTCCATTGTCTACTACCCAAAAGAAGTTAAGCAGACCATATTCTTTCATCTTACTTTAGTTATTCTGTCATAGCTTGACCGATTAAAATGATATGCCAGAATCAGGTATTGAATATTTAGCTTCTTTCGAGTTGTACATTAAGAAAAAAACATGACAAGTTTGCTTCCAAAGAATATTTTGAAAGTCTGATTTGAATGACAAGATGCTTGCCATCCAGTTTAATTACACTACAGTGTAATGTATTGAAAAAATTCTGTGGGAAGTTCCTGATAAGAGCAAGACATTTTGACATATATGTTCACAAAACTATGTTTGAATGGGTCCATTGTATTTACTTTACAGCAGTGATTTAATTCACATGGAGTCAAGAAACTTCTATCTTATACAGAGGTGGATAGCATGAGCTAAGGTTTCCAGATATGCAGCGACAATGGGCATTTGTTTAAACAGTGTTAAGTGCAAGATGATCGTTGAAAATGTTTAGGTTACCAAGCTTTCTTGTGTGCATGGCTGAGATGCAGTACTTGAACGTATTTTCTCCAAACAAGTCCAGTAAATAGTGTTGCTCCTGTCTCTTGTCGACAGCCCAGTGATTTATTTTTATCGCCCCAGGCCTTGTGTGAAACAGTTTTATTTTGATAGATTTTAAACTCTGAGAATCCATCATCTATGTCACTGATTTAATCTGGTTTTGACAATTTTTTAAGATGTCAAGTTTTTGTGTAGACATATTAAATTAGGTGGAAAACTCTGTTTTATATAAACTGGACAATGAATACGGGTAAGAGTAAAACTAGAGAGAGAAGGGGAAGGGATAAGGAATGAGTATTATAGTTTGGTGATATTAAAATGGTACTTTTTCCTTTCATTTTAAGGATGCAAATGCATTACTTTGGTAAACCAGATACTCAGGTTGTTTAGGGGTATGTTGAAGGCCAATGTTTTTGCTGGCAACGAATGTCTTGAGGACATTTTCAATTTTTAGCAAATTTAGAAAGGACATTCTTCTATATCATGACTGAGATTAAAAATATAATATGGGAGTTTTTAATGACAATCTGTCAATGTCCCGGAAAATGAACCAATCCGAGACCCTGAAGGCTAGTCTGAGAGCATGTTAAGTTAGATATTTATTGTATTGGTTAGTGAGATTTTTATTTACTTTTTAATTTATTTAATATTGAACAAGGGCATTAATACTTTCTTATAATATTTGAAAGCCATTTTAAGGAATATTTTTACCTCCTAAATATGGAAGAGAAAGATGTGTTATTTCTAGTTTTACACTTTGACAGCATCACACAATGTTTGGGGTTTGTGAAGTCCACTGTTGCATTTGAACTTGTAGGTTAGGTTAGGCCACACATTTTTATATTTTCTCCCGCAAGTAATATAGACTTATGCAATATATCAAGATATATTTAATTAAATGTCCTTATGACTATCAATGATTCAAGAGGCCAGCTGCAGTTTTAGAATGACTTTCATATATATAAATAAATAAATAAATAAATGATTGACACAGCTATTTATTTTTATTTATACTTTTGTCTCAACTTTCCGTGTGGAAAGCTGAAATAAATCTTTGCAACATAAAATTAGGGAACTGTGGCCCATGGCAGCATTCCTTGCCATTATGTCATGAAACAAGGCCTACCTGGAACGCAGACATGGTATCTGGGACACGAAAGTAGATGTCAGTGTGAGTATACTTTCCAAGTGCAAACTAGAATTTTTTCTTGATTCATTTTGTCATTACTTTTCAAAGCTGAAAATCTGGGACCTTTCAGAACAATGTGTTACTTTGAAGACATCTGGGGCGGTCGGGTAGCCCAGTGGTTAAGGCGTTCGCTTGTCACGCCGAAGACCCGGGTTCGAATCCCGACATGGGTACAATGCGTGAAGCCCATTTCTGGTGTCCCCCGCCGTGATAATGCTGGAATATTGCTAAAAGCGGCGTAAAACCAATCTAACTCACAATTGAAGACATCTTGTTAGCTTAGCATGTTTATGGACCAGGGCCCTGTTCCACAAAGCGATCTTAGCTATGGTGGTTTTAAGTCAATGTTAAAGTGTGGGAGGTATGTTCATCTTAGCACTACAACTGTCGTAAGTCGATGTTAAAGTTGGGAAGTTACGATTGTCTTAGCGCTGTGACTGTTGTAAGTCGATGTTTAAGTAAGGGAGTTATGACGGTCTTCGCTTTGTGGAATAATGCCATGCAAACCAAAAATGTTACAAATGTGGAAAATAACCTGAAGTTTTTTTTTCTTAGTATCAATTCTTCATCTGGTTTAATAATGAAAACGATAGTTGGTAATAGAGAAATAAAAGTAACTATTTGAAGGTTCATTAATATGGACAAGTGTTTCTTTTCATATTTGTTTTACCTTTACAATTATATTTTTTAGCTCACTTACCTTAAACTATTGGTTTTGACCACAGACACTTGTATTGTGGAAAATTAGGTGTGTAAACCAAGAGCTAGACCTTTGATTTCCTGAGGTACAACGTATGCTAGAAATAGGTCAGTATCAGTTCCTGTCTCAAGAAAAGCTGGTTCCCTGGAACTTTCTTGTCGATCTGGATTTGTCAACCAGAATTCTCATATTTACCTTGTTCTGCTCAGTGCTTAATGGCAAGCATGGCTGGACATAGTCTCCAAGTCCTCATCATGATGTACATAAATTCCTTCATATTATGTTAATGTTTTTCCCATCCATATACAGCACCAGTCTATGTATATATTCGTTGCTTACCCCAGTCGGCTGACCTAGTCTCCTTCTGTGGACAGTTGTACTAAATATGTTTGTCGGATACAGCTCAAAATAAAGAAGAAGCATAAAACATGTTTTGTTATTTGTTTGATCAACAGTAGGTTCACAATGCTTCAGGACCCATTGGGGGGTCACGAGTGGCCCAGTCGTCTTAAGGCGCTGCGATTTGCTGTGCAGAGTTGCGTCTCTTGGCCACGCCAGAAACCTATGATAGTGGGTTCGAATCCCGGTTCGCCCCGATTATGTTTCTAGGTTTGTCAGCATCATACCCGTGCTCGTGGGTTTCACTGAAGTGGTAAACGTCTGAGACCTGCATCACTTCAGGCTTTCCTCCGACATTAAGCTGACACGCCGTGATATAACTGGAATACTGTTAAAAGCGGCGTTAAACCCAACCCAACTCACTCAATCACTCTCAGAGGACCCATTGAGATGCAAGTCTGTGACTTGAGCCACTGCTCCGAAGACCAAGTAGTAAGCTCAGTAGTCCATATGATAACACCAAAATCCATGGAAAATGATGTAAAGAGCACTATTTGGGCGAGTCGACTCACAGGGTTTGGGCACAGATAAGGATTGTGGTTAAAATAGGTTCCCAGTACTCTGTAGTAAGAGGCAACTATTGGCTTAAATGTGAGCTGACAGTTAACAGTTAACGACGTTTGTGTAGTCACTGGCTTGTCTGTCCAAAACTTGATTATTTACAGGCCACCATGATATAGCTGGAATACTACCTTGTGCAGTGTCATACAAAGAAAACAGCATGTATGGTTGAATATTGGGTAGGTTGAAATGTCCCTGAGTCAGCATGGCACATCGAGCAAGAACATTCCCAAGTTGTCAAGTGAAAAGCAGTTTATTCATGTTGATACCATGACAGACTTAAATACAAATACATATAATAAACCATCCATTCAACTGAACACACAGATGGAGAAATGATAACACACACTCATCAAATTCTGTAATAACCAAGCAGTAAACAGTGACATAAAACAGATCCGTACTTAAAAAAAGCTGTCGGCCGAAGCTAACATGCACATTCAACCTTGTACACTGTATTGGCAAGCATAAATACTTTTATACTGAATGAATCTTGGCAAACCATTCAGACTGATGCAACTTCTCACTATAAGGGGCAGTGTGATCTCATTATGCTTTAATGTTGAAGATTACAGCTGTAAATATGATGATGGCAGTAGCAGCTCTTCCTTTACCCTCCCCCTCAAATTGATGTAATTTTCTTCACAATCCCTGTACATTGCATCAAGATTAAAGGTTCTTACAGACAACCTTTTTATCATTAGCATGTTTTGGGAACAATAACATTTGGACAGAAAAAGTTGTGATAATGGAAAATAACAATGTTTTAAGTCTCACAATTGGTACCATAAAATTGGAATGAGAGTATTTGCTAAGTGATAAGTAATCACTTAACAGGTTAATTGTCCCTGGTTAATCAGTACCCAACTTGACAAAATGTTCATACATTGTCAGAAAAAGAAAAACTAAACAATCCCAGTCATTACATTACCCGACATATGAGATATGGTACTTTGAAAATATTTGTCTTAACATCTTGTCTGAAACCAAAAATGGCCAGATCACAACATTTGATTATCATGGAGTACATCAGTATGTAGTATAGAAAAACATCTTGAAGTTAATGCCCTCGGCAAATGGTGCTTACTGAAAATATTTACCACAAAGACATTAATCACAACACAACATCATAAGCATATATTAGGTCAGTATGGAAAACAAAATCAAAATATGGAGCATTTGCTCAAGTCCTGATAATCAAACAATTATCAAATGCAATTACAAAACATAACAAATTTTAAGAAAATTTACCACTTTAAATTTCAGACAGTAGTACATCCAGCATTGAACTCAATTTCACATACAGGGAGTCACTATTTCCAAAAATAGTGCACAAACGTTTGAGATGGCCCCTGAAAGGTCCCATTCCACATAATATGACGGTCATTGACACAAGCTATATTACATTCACAGCCATAGCCCTTCCTATAGTATAACGTGCAAATATGTACACATGCCCAATCACAACATGCAATATACATACAATAGTGCTTATGACTACTTCAAGAAATTATAAAAGATAAAGACAACTTGTCAGAGCTACGCATGATAATATTTCAAAATACTTTATTGCACATATCCTCTGAATATTTTCAGTTATGCTAGATATTTCTCTATTACAAGGATCAGGCCTTCATATGGAAATACTGATCCAACTGTCCTAGTTTTGTGAAATACGGATGATAGTTTAATCACAATACACTGTAGAAAATACACCAGAAATATTCAATGGAGATTCTGTCCGTCTGACTAGCATCTGTACACATTGTGATCACAGGTATAAAGGATTTCCACATCTGAAAAAATAGAAAAGAAACAGACCTATTAGAATTCATAATGAATGATAAAGAATATCATAAAATACAAGAGTACCATAAGAAAGTCAGCTTTAAGGTATTATCAACAAGTTCATCAAATTCATACAGAGTTATCTCCCTTCCACCCTGTTACATCATTTTGGAATAGTGATTTGGTCATTTTTTACTGACACTGTTTTATGTTATTCTTTGTTACTTTGTTGATCATTTGTCAATAGTAGAACCATTAAACAATGTAACAGATTCTTCTGGACACTTACCAGTGGAGTGCCATTTACTTCTTCTTAGATTTGGGCGAAGTTGACTGGAAAACACTGCTTGCCGCCATTAGGTTCTCAATATACTGGCCAAGGACTTGGTTCTCTGATTTAAGTTTCAGATTTTCCTCCTTCACTGTGTCAACACGAGATGACAAATCTGAAAACAGGATCAGGAAAAGTTATTTACACAAACTTCTAAACCCAGTAACCACTTTTCACAAAGGATTAGGACACTACAGCAATGTGAAGTTTACCTGTTTTCCTTACTCATATCCTCGAACATGTCTACAGATACAGCATGAAGTTAATGAAACATGTCATGCTGTAATTAACACTATCATTAATATTTTGGCTGGATAACAAAACAGAAACAAACGTAAATAATTTGATAACATATTGGTCAGATGTAATCAATTTTGCATACACACATAAACAATATTAAAAGTGTTATTCCTCTGTCTTATTAAGTAAATATGAATACTAGTCCCACCCATCAGCTACCATGACTTAGAGTTTGTTTGTTTATTTGTTGTTTAACTCAGCTCTCAGCAATATTCCAGCTATATGACGGACGTCTGTAAATAATCGAGTCTGGACCAGACAATCCAGTGATTGACATCATAAGCATCGATCCCTGCAATTGGGATTCGATGACATGCATCAACCAAGTCAGCGAGCCTGACCACCCGATCCTGTTAGTCGCCTCTTACAACAAGCATAGTCGTCATTTACGGCAAGCATGGATTGCTGAAGACCTATTCTACCCCGGACCTTCACGGGTCCCATGAGTCAAAGCTTCTATTCTACCTGGCATTCTAAGATGATTGGTGCGAAATCAAAGATGCCACCCATTAAATTAAATCACCCTGCTGATCTAACTATTAATTTGTTACCTATATCCATCATCTAATACATAATGTTCAGTTATGCCTAGATGAGGGTGTCATTGATTGGAAAGTTTAGTATCAATATGTTGACTCTAAAGTATCACGATATATATCGGTATGTCTATTAATAACAAAGTTAGTTATACTGTATGTGTGTAGATAAAAAGATCCTATTTAGACCAGCAATTTATCAACTTAATGTTACATATGAACTAGACTGGTCCATTAAATGTCACAAATGTAACTTTGAATTTCTGCCTTCTTATCGTCCATTACCATGGTAATCTCAACAAATGCAAACGTTCTTGGGGCAGTGAATAATTCATTTGGACTCTATATTCATAAATTTGTATGAGTACAGAATGAACATTAAATTGATCATTACATCGATATGACGACATACAATAACATCCCAAGCAATGGAAATAAATAACATTTTTTGTCCACTAGTCCTTATAATGATAACATACAGCAAAACCCCTTAAAAATGCCAAATTTCTACTAGTCGTTTTGGAACCTTAACTATTCATCACTTCGGCAAGGACTACAGGACTAGTGCCAATTTCTAACGCTGCCCAGCCTAGCTTTATTATATTTCTCAATTCTCAATATCCATAATGCACTGAAAGACTCATCGTTGCCCCACCCAACACAAGTTTCACCTCACCATCAAGCGTGTTCTGCAGCTCCAGCACCTGGGTGATCAGTCTCTGTTTCTCCTCCTCTTCATCGGGGTTGATGTCTGGGTCCAAACCTGGGAGGATAACATTCAACTTTCACAAGTGACAGTGGCAATGGACATCATCATGATCATAAAATATTCATGTCACACTGTGAATAAAGTTTAATCATCAATAATGGAATTCCTATGTTGTGAGTGAGTTTGATTTTACGCCGCTTTTAGCAATATTCCAGCAATATCACAGCGGGGGACACCAGAAATGGGCTTCACACATTGTACCCATGTTTGGGGATCGAACCCGGGTCTTCGGCGTGACGAGCGAACGCTTTAACCACTAGGCTACCCGACCGCCCCCCTCCAACACAGGTGGTGGTTGAAACTGCCTTGCTTTTTGCAGATATCTTACAAGCCAAAAAGGCTCACACTAATAACAGAGTATAGTGTACAATTAATTATTATGCAATACCATGGCTGGAGACAAGATTTGTTTTGTTTTGTTTGTTGTTTAATGCCACACTCCGCAAATATTCCAGCTATATGACGGTGGTCTGTAAATAATCGAGGCTGGACCAGACTATCCAATGATTGACATCATGTGCATCGATCCACGCACGCAATTGAGATACAATGACATGCATCAACCAAGTCAACAAGCCTGACCACCCGATCCTGTTAGTCGCCTCTTACAACAAGTGTAGTTGCCGTTTATGGCAAGCATGGGTTGCTGAAGACCTTTTCTACCCCGGGTCTTCACGGTTCGGTTGGCACAAGAATTGGTTTTATATGTTGTACCCCCCTGGGGAATAGAACCCAGGAATTTGGCATGATGAGCGAACACTTTAACCACCAGGCTACCCCACAACTGTTGTTGCAGTTAAATATTTTCAGTAAAACAGTTTTGCACATACACTTACAGGCTAAACAAAATGACAATGAAATATAATTCAACAAGACCAACAATGTCAAACTTGTTATTTGTTTTGTGTTTAACACACTCGGCAATATTCTAGCTATATGACTGTAAATAAAAATCAGGACAAGACAAACTAGTGATTGATATCAAGAACAATATCCCATGCTGTGTGGTATCATGACACATAATGAATCAAGCCTGACTATCCGATCCACCTAGTCATCTCGTAGGAGAACCAGCCCAGGTTGCTGGGGACCCATTTTAACCCAGAATCCCCAACAACAGGCATAGGTTGCAGGGGACCATTGTAACCCAGAATCCCCACGAGGAATAACCAGCATAGGTTGCTAGGGGCCCATTCTAACTCGGAATCCCCACGAGGGACAACCAGCACAGGTTGCTGAGGACCCATTGTAACCCAGAATTCCCACGATGGACAAGCAGCACAGGTTGCTGGGGACCCATTGTAACCCAGAATCCCCACAATGGACAACCAGCATAGGTTGCTAGGGGCCCATTCTAAATCCCCACGAGGGACAACCAGCACAGGTTGCTGAGGACCCATTGTAACCCAGAATTCCCACGATGGACAAGCAGCAAAGGTTGCTGGGGACCCATTGTAACCCAGAATCTCCACAATGGACAACCAGCATAGGTTGCTAGGGGCCCATTCTAACTCGGAATCCCCACGAGGGACAACCAGAACAGGTTGCTGAGGACCCATTGTAACCCAGAATCCCCACAATGGACAACCAGCATAGGTTGCTATGGGCCCATTCTAACCCGGAATCCCCACGATGGACAACCAGCATAGGTAGCTGTGGACCATTGTAACCCAGAATTCCCACGATGAACAACCAGCACAGATTGCTGTGGGCCCATTGTAACCCAAAATCCCTACGAGGGACAACCAGCATAGGTTGCTGTGGGCCCATTCTAACCCAGTATCCCCACGAGGAACAACCACCATAGGTAGCTGTGGGCCCATTGTAACCCAGAATCCCCACGAGGGACAACCAGCATAGGTTGATGGCAACAATATTCTATCCCGGGAATGTCGATGGGAAAATTCCAAATATAAGCTGGACCAACTAACATAAAATGACTACCGGGTAATATACTGATTGACATCAGAATAACAGCATTCGTATTTGCCTCAACAATGCTGAGATTCCACTGAAGAGGCCAGGTAAAATGTGGTCCAAGGTCATGATGAAGATTATTGCACTTACCTAGTGACATGTGAGCGTGTGTATGAAGCTGCTCGAACAAGTATGGACTAGTGTCTGTTTTTATAGTGCTAGCCCACTGAGGTACCGTGCTAGAGTTTAATATGATACTTCATTCAGACACAGTAAGTCCTTGTTTTATACCCATAATGCTGAGCGCCAGGCAGGGTAACAACAAATACCAGCTTTTAACGTCTTTTGGTATGACCCTGCCGGGAATCAAACCAGCGACCTTCTGCTCTCCAGGCAGGTTCTGTATCCACTACACCACGGAGGCAGTTGCTAGTTAGTAGGGATGAGTATCCCCAGTATCCCCGATACGCACTATTATGTAGTGACTATTGTGACATATACTGGAAACAAAAATGACTTCCTAAGAATGTCCATGGGCCCGATTGAGACACCAAACTCCTCAAGAAATGGGTAATTTTGTACAGTAAACGTTTTGCAATGGAACATTTTATCTTGTACCACTGTATAAATGAAAAGAGTATAATATTCACACTAAGACAATCATATCATTTGCATGAGAAACATGGTGTCAATTCATTGTGCAGTAATCATGATAATATGTAATCATGATAATATGCACGTTAAAGGATGTTCTCCTCGTTAGAGTGAGTGAGTGAGTGAGTTGGGTTTAACGCCGCTTTTAACAGTATTCCAGTTATATCGCGGCGTGTCAGCTTAATGTGGGAGGAAAGCCTGAAGTGATGCAGGTCTCAGACGTTTACCACTTCGGTGAAACCCACGACCACGGGTATGGTGCTGACAAACCTAGAAACATAATCGGGGCAAACCGGGATTCGAACCCACAATCATAGATTTCTGGCGTGCCTAAGGGACGCAACTCTGCACAGCGAATCGCGGCGCCTTAGATGGCTGGGCCACCTGTGCCCCCTCCTCGTTAGAGCAGTTGAGGTGGCTAAATACTTACTGTGTGTTGTTCCAGTAAATCCATCATTTTTGGTATTTTCCTGTTCCACAATAGCTTTGTTTTTATCAATATTTTCACCTTAAAAAGAGAAAAGTTTAAATTAATCATTCCCGATAGTTCATATTTATAAATAACAAACATTTTTAGTCAACATAAAGCCTTTGGAAACATAACATACTGCTGTTCTTTTTCATTGTTTCATATGTATATTATTATTGGTAATGTCAAAATAACTTACAGAAGTTAATAACCAATGATGTTTTTAACTGAAGCTCATGCAACTAACCGGTGAAAAAAACACATTATCTTACATCTTATTGTCTGAGTGAAATTACAATCTCAAAACAAGTTGGTCTTGTGACTAAACCTCAATCTCATTGGCAAGTTGTGTGAACATTGTTAACATGGCAAGATAACTGCACATGTCTACTGAGTGTGTTATTAAAGGTCATCATCAAGTACTAATAATGGTGTTGTGATACACCCGAAATATAGACATATTTTACCTATTTGATTTATTTTTAAAGATAGTAACATGAAATTCGGTACCAATGGGTGACCTTATGTGCTTGTTTATACAGGCATGTGACTGAAGAATGACAAAAGAGACTATAACAATATATTTTCTTTGCTGAGGAAGGCATAATAGAAATCCAAAAACATATGTTAAAGGGGCACTGATCTAACGCAATTCCCCGGACTGGTTGTTGCCTTTGTTATTGTTTCCCCCCCCTGAGTACCCGGATGATACGTAACGCAACTGAGCGTGACCAGAGACTGGGCTACCGTCTGCAAGGACAGATAAATAAACTTGGAGGCTGGAGGTTTTATTTGTTTTACGCATTTTTGCATAAACACTGATTGGTTAACTGTGATCTATAAAGATTTCGACAAAGGGCGCATGTTAATTAATTTCTTCAGCCTAAACAAACAGACAAAAAGAACGGCGGAGCTCATCGGATGTCGTCATTTGGAAATACCCCAGATGGTTATAGTTTAATACTAAAAAAAGTATCCATGCAGTGAAAGCATTTTCGGATTTTGGATTGCGTCGATAATACGATTACTACTCCCTTGTTCAACCATGTTTTCTCGTATAACCCTACACTTATGTATTTGTCGTCATTCACTTGATGCTCAGTTAATGAATTTATTACAGGTACAATTAGTGGTAGCACCACTTAGATTACCTGACAAAGGTTCCCATTTGGCATTTATTGTGTCTGGGGTAATTATTCAATCTAAATCCAGGTTTGAAGTGAGGTGAAATGTGTGTTATGTAATATGCACGTGGCAGACCAGCAAGAGGTGAATGATCAGTTAATTTCCTTTTTTTGTAAATCAACGGATCGTTCCTAGTCATCAAAGGATTAACAGAAAATACGTTGATTGATTAATCACTGTTATCTTGCACAGTTGATATGTCTAAAGTGAGTGTTTACATGTCTAGGTTTACTAAAACAAAGGGAATATACTCATACCATGGCGTGAAGTGCCGGTGTAAAAACAACATACTTTGTTCAAAGGGTTAACTGATAATACATTGATTGATTGATCATTGTTATCTATCACTTAATGGATTTTTTAGGAACCGTGGACGTTATGAAAATAGTTGTCACGTGGGCTTTCTCAGCCGACCCTTGAGACTTGACACCTATGTGAAACACCTGAAACAATCTAAGTGATCAGTTGAGAAACGCGCACGGGTTATAATATCCCGAAACGATATATATTTTAAAATATTTGATTGTTACAGAGACACGTGACATCGAATAAGTTTCTTTGTACAGCTGCAGACAAGTGGGATATTGTTCCTTTGTGTGGATACATTCCTCGAACAAGGAAGCTGCCTAAAATTTATACACATAAATTTGGTAGGTTGTAATTACAGTATTTGCATTTTGTTTTCCTTCTTTTGAACCGATTCGTTCTTGTTTCTCTACGTCTTGGTTGGGAAATTCTTCAATGCGCAATAGACGTTGTTTTCACAGGTCTTTTCCTTTGTAAGGGTGTATATATTACCGTCAATTTGTAAAATGTGATTCTCGAAGGCAATTTATAAAATGTGTTTTTGACTAAAAAAATCTGTCCAGATTGATTAAGACGATCAAAAGGGCCTACAAACATCACAACAGATTATTATGTAGGATTAGAAGCCAAACAACATAGAAATGTACTTTTCAACGTAACATTTTCATCTTGGTGATGATATTAAACATCAAAATGTTTGGAGTTCGTTATTATAATAATACATATGGAAATGTTTTTCAGTCACTTTGTAAAATAACTGAATATTTAGACGTTTAATAAATTTGAAAATGTTACACATTTTGACAGTAAAAAAAATATACACACTATAAAAAAGCAATGCTCAAGTGAAATATTTACTTTGTGTTACAAGTCAAAATAGTGTAAACGAAAATCGAAAAATTGCCAAGCAAGTGACTTATCAAAACTTCGTCACCATTACCGATGCTACCCACAAAGATACCTACATTTCCTTATTATCTCGAAAACTGTATTTCATTTTGTTGATCAATGTGACCATACGCCCTTATTACTACCCATAAAAGTGACTAATACGCTTACGAATGGCGCAGCAGAGGTTGCGAACTAGTCTAGATTTCTGCTATACATCCGGGTACTCACTGGGAAAAAACAATAACAAAGGCAACAACCAGTCCCGGGGAATTGCGTTAGATCAGTGCCCCTTTAAACTTTAATACATCATAATCAAAAAGTTGAAAGATGACACTATTCTGAATTTAGATGGAAATGTCCCAAGCCTGAATATATCAGAATAGAAAAGTGCAAAAGTAAAAGACATTTCTATTCACAAACATAAACAAACCAATTGCTATAAAAATCAATGTGTCTTTGTGATTACGCAATACAAGCATACAAAGATCCACTGTCTATAAAATAAATTTACCAGTTCTTTTGGACTCTTTATTAACACTTGTTTATTTTACAATATTGTACCAGCTCACTCCAATCTGCATTGATTCAAGGGGGAAGAAAACACCTTCCTCTCAGTCTCAATATAGGATCAATTATATGACATTGTTCTGACAGTGTACTTGCGAGCTTAATATAGCATTCGATCACGACCTTTCCATAAAACACACACAGAATGTTACATAAAACACACCACACAATGTTATGGAACCATGCTTGCAAGTGTACTCCGTGGTCGAGCATAAACATTATAAACATGGTGCCATAATTTTCATAAATTATTCATTTACCTGGTTCGCTATCACTGGACAGAGGGACGTTGTACAGATGTCCATTTGAATCCTCGTTGGACATTTTCAAGAAGTGTGTTGGTCAGATCTAATTTAACTTGATGATACCCAAAAGGATGGTGATACCCGCAGAATCCTACCCTCACTTCCGTGTTATGAGTAGGACCCAGAAAACTGGCGACTTCAGTTCGCAAACGTATCGGTGAATAATGGAGATACTGGGTAATACCTGGAAAAGAAACTTGCGTTTACAAAAGTAAATTGAATTAAACTGCACGGTGCAACGAAATTAATCGCGTAAAGAGATGCCATGACGTGTGAATAGCGATAATAAACAGGATTACTCACTCATTCACAACTTGTCAGCCATATTGGATTAGTCACGTGACAATGACGTCACGGGCACTTGTCAAAATCCATGCTTTTACCTACGTTACAACTTCTTAAATATCTAGAATATGAAAAGCTTTTAAACGGACTTGTATAACGTTTTCAACACACCCTTCAGTGTCAATATTATCCCTCTGTATCAATAAAACACGAAAAGCCTTCAAACTATCTCAAGATGGCCATCGCAGTATATTATTTATTGTATCTTGGTGGTGACAATCGGCACCTTGTTCTGTCTCTCCTCGGCATAGGACTCATTTCATCAACTAACATGACGTGATGCTAAATATTCATCTTGATGAACACAGGAACCAACATCCCAACTCCATTCAACAACAGGCCAAGTTTATAATTATGTCTATCAAATGTACAATTTGTTGAAGATATGTCCTGTTCTAGTCGTTGTGATTGTGAATTGAAGACATCATACCTGTGAATTTTGGGTATCATTTCCTGCTAGATTGATAAACATTATAATTTGCAGTTAAGAGATCAAATAATTTTGGTTATAATTTATACATGACTAGCATCAAACTTCCCAGCAGCGTCAACTGCTTGTGGCCAGCGTCTTTTTCAGCAGAAAGAATGTGTCTCTTTTTCTTTATTTTCAGGTGCGGTTGGGGTAGCCTAGCTAGTCATGCTCGTCACTTCGCAGACCCGGGTTCGATTCCCCACATGGGTAAAATGTGTGAAGCATATTTCTGGCGTCCCTCGCTATGATATTGCTGGAATATTGCTAAAATAGGCGTTAAACTTGGCCCAGTCGTCTAAGGCGCCGCAATTTCTTGGGCACACCAGAAACCTAAGGGTTGTGGGTTCGAATCCCGGTTCGTCCCGATCATGTTTCTCGTTTTGGAAACCCTAAACCCGTGCTCATGGGTTTCAACAAAATGGTAAACGTCTAACACCTACTTGCATCACTTGGGACCCTCCTCCCGCATTAGCTGACACGACGTGATATATAACTGGAATACTGTTCAAAGCGACGTTCATACCTAACTCACTCACTCACACACTCACTCATTATTGTGAGAAAAAGTCCTCGTGGTAGCAGGGTCCTTATATGAAACTAACGCATTGTCTCCGCGTAATATAGATTTGTTGACTGTTAGATTGATATACAACTTCGAGTTAGTGCACAAACGAATTAATTAATACTTGAGTGAAACTTGCCTGCACTGTCAATTTCACCAAACCCAGTATATGTATGTTTTATGCACTTTACACTTTCTCGCTTACCAGTAAACAGCACAATGTGAAACAAACAAAATAGAATATATATTAAGATAGCGTGATTGATAGATGTGTTTGATGACATGATGGTGAATTAGTAAGAATATCATGAACAGTAAACCAGATTTGTTCGTCTTTCTACCGAAAAGATCTGTCTGTATTCATGTTTCATGTGACCACGTTATGGCTTATCGTTCATCGTCAACAGACTACCATTCGAACTTACAACCGTAGTTGTAAGGAAAGTAGAATACTGTTCCGGCTAGTGACGGAGAATTCCGCAGTGCTAACGTAAACATACGGAATAACCCGAACCGTCGAACAGCCACCTGCGTGTAGCAAACTGTCAATATAAGCCTTGAGAGGCGTGCGGATCGTTTACCTTGGATATGAACGCGATTTTGTTGTCTTGTGGATTTTCGGAAGGAACCTGACAAATCTTTACAGGTGGGACACTTTTTTATGACTGTTTTCTAAACTTTATACACAAATCTGTGTACTTTCATTTTTTGTTATGGGCCGTGAAAACGTCAAGTAAAAAACTGTCCGGCGAAAGGATCATGTGGGGACGGGATCTACCTGGCATGTGCAGGTAACATTTGGCAGGCCGCCTACATCTTGCGGTGTAATGCAATTTGAACGGGATTGCAAAGTGTGTTGATTTTACGGTAGTTTGGACTCCTCCTTAGGAGAAAAGTCTGTCTTTAACAACCGATGTCTATAACTGGGAGCGCTTACTGTGAAAGACGAGGACAACCAACTTAGCCCAGCAAGTCGCCTAGCCGTGCATAACAAAATATAGACAGCTGATAGATGACAGTTTTTCTCGTTTTTATATAACAACCCCGGCCCTTACCTGATGTCATTTCTGTCTTAAAGCTTTTTAACTGTCGCGCAAAATGTCTTTCTTTAGAATGTATAGGTTGTATCATGGAGACACGGCAATAGGGCAGTCATAGTCCTTATCCCAGAAAATCGATGTGCCTAGATATCGTTTGGGTGGAAATCTGGGCAGTTTGTTGTAAATCATTAATCACCTATTTACACTCGATTTTATTACTGACACGTGTACTGTTGCTTATGAATTGACATATGAGTGAAACACAGTTTTACAGTGTTCTAGAGTGGGTTCTTCTGCATCATAAATGTAGACCAGTGTTGTTTCCCACTGGGAGGTTATAACAGAATATTGATTAGAACATCTAGTCAGTTGGTAATTAACTGTATATATAGCATATGTATTGAGTAGAATCATATCAAGTACTCCACCCCAATGACAATATTAATCATAATACTTAATACATTATATTAAATGTCATATCTTTTTCTTAAGATTATTCAGTGTGGCACAATGTGAGATTGAAGGTATTATCAAACAGACATGTTATGATGAGAAAATAAATAAATGTATCCCTCATAAACTAAATATAAATTTTTATGATCACAGAAACTAAAAGAACATGAAAACAATTTCTAAGACAAATAGTACAGTTTGCCATGGTTTACTATTTGAAGTGTGAAGTAATAGTTGTTGATTGATATTATACTTAAATGTGTATCACTTAACACTTTCCACCAGGTGTGTTGATCGTGTGAAAACCAATTAGTAAAGGTGTGACATAATCATTAGGTATTGATAGCCATGTGTTGCACTGGACAATCACATCACCTACCTTGATTGCTGTTTAACTGACTCTCGTTACATCAACCATGGCTGTGAAAACAGTCAGTCTGAAGTGTTAGTCCTGTTTACTCATGCAAGACATGGTTATTAATTGGTCTATAAGGGGTGGTGGGTTAATAGTAAAAATACTTGCTCGTCATGTCGAAAGCCAAGGTTAATTCCCAATATGTGAAAGCAATTATGCTTGTCATAGGAGGCGACTAACGGGATCGGGTGGTGAGGCTTAGTGACTTGGTTGATGCATGTCATAGTATCCCAACTGCATAGATCGATGCTCATGATGTCAATCACTGGGTTGTCTGGTCCATTCTCGATTATTTACAGACCGCTGTCATATAGCTGGAATATTGCTGAGTGTGGCATTAAACAACAAACAAAACAAAACAATGTGTGAATTCATTTTCTGGTATCCCCTGCCGTGATATGACTGGAATATTTCTCAAACCATACTCATTATATTTTACATATCATGTAATTTTAAAACAATGGTTGTTATCGTAGGTGATGATGCCAAGCACTTACTAAGTACAGTTAATATCTTGTTGCTCATCTCCTGACTGCCTTGTTCAATAGATCAATGTGGGCTTTAAGCACAATATATGTGTCTTTTAGTACTATTGGTGATGGCATTGACACATCACATCAACTAAGTCTCTTGTCATAAGATTCTCTTTTGTGAAGATGTTGAAGAAATCGATATGTTTAATCCTTCAGCTTGCTATTTGGACATTGCCATAAACTAAACAAGTTTTAATAATGCCTTGCAAGTGCTTTTGTTATGGTGTCTTCATATGACGTACCATTTGATGCATGCCACTGAGGAACATTAGTTGTAGGAAAGCATTATTCATTGTAAATGGTCAAATATATGAAGGAAGGTTTTAGATAAACAGTCAGTTTAATACTGTGCAGTAATGACATCCAAATTTGCATCTGATGGAAAATAGTTGACTTGTGTTCAAGCACAAGATGGCTGTGTTCTTACGAGCTGACTTGCATGACATCACCTTGTCAATATCAATGCATTTCTTTGTGCTGTGACATAACAACTTGTAAGTCATGTTCATTCATTAACAAGTTTCAAGCTTGATCTACCACACATGAAGTGATCTGCATATTTAGGGGGTCATATCAGAAGCCTTATTTTAATTTTAGAATCAGTATCACCGGACAGTTTAATATGAATCAACATTTTAGTTTATGAGTAGCTTATTTATGGTTTATAAAATTATCTTTACATCAGAGATTATGTTATTTCCTGGCCTTTGAAATCCAGTCATTAAAAATGAAAAATGACATAAAATGTTTTGACAGGACCCATTAGTTCATTATGAGCCAATAAGTCTCTGGTAAGTACCACATGTTATTGCACAGACTGTTTAATATGTGTACAAGATATTAATGTTTGAAGGAGTTCGGAAACATCGTTTGTAAAGGTAATAATTATTAACTGCGCAGTTATGTCTATTTGCCCCAGACTTTAGTTATAGGTTCCCCTAGCAAGATAGATCTAGTTGTCTCAGAAGCCATGTTAGGTTAATATTTACACATGCAAAGTATCAAAACACTTGCATGTACACATATCTTGTCAGAAATAGAAAACAGGTTATTAACCTGCCTATGTCAATGTTGTGTGACAGTAACATGGCCGTGTCACATGTGGTGATCTCTCACATAGTTTATGTAATTTCCCTGATGTCTCTCTTAACAGCCTGTCTCAATACCAAATTAATTTCATATTTAACATTTAATCACCATGAATGGCTACAGATTTGCTGATGTTACATTTAACAATAGTCACTCCTTCACGCTTGTTTGAAGTATCAAAATGTTCATACAGTCTGACTTTAGCCACTAGTCCGAAGACTAGTCTAGTAAAATTGTACAGTGTGGTAAGATCTCCTGACGCTACTCCATATGATAACACTACAGTGTACTCAGTAATGATGTTAGGAGCCAAGTTTGGGCTAGGGACTCAAAAGCTTTTGGCGTAGACTGCCATATATTCATTGTTAATACGTGTTGAAATCAGACTTGGATGACATTATTTGGAAGTGTTTTTGTGAGTTTGATGGCTCCCTGTTGTGATGTACAAGGATTAATTTCATAACTGTGGCATGTGGTTTTGTGTTGACTGTGTGAAGTCTTATCCTGCTGGGGATGCTGTTTAAGACACTGCATGATGATAGCCGTCAATATGGCAACACTTAAGCTATACATCATCAGTTGAAGGTAACATCCATGGATCGAGCTGCCAGTTTATTTCAGCAGTTCCTTAGAACTGGCACGACTTATTTTTCAGATTTCTTTTTCAATTTGACTTCAAATGTCTCTTGTTGATATTTTGTATATACTTTAAGGAAACAGATGCAAAGTTTTATTGTGAGATAACATTTTCAAAAAGAGAGAGTTAAATATTAAATAATCATCTGAAGTTTGACAAGGCAATTGTTACGGCATGCTTTGAGTTAGGAATATATGGTAGTTGTATTAGCAGGATCAGATTCATGTAGAAATAAGCTTCCTAACGTATTACTGGTGGAATTTGTCTTTTTCTGGACAAAATTAAAATATTTTCAATGTCTTGTATGGTTGCACTGCATTATCCATGCTATCAGGCCTGAAAGTTTGATATTTGCCTCAGAGCCTCATAGCTTCTTATGTTATTTCCTTGGTAGCCATGACAACATTTTTAGAGCCAACACAAATTCACAAGAAAGAAAATTTAAAATGAAGTAAAAAACAGGTAAGTCAGGCTTCAGATTAATGTTTGAAGTGACAAAACATTATTACCGAGTATAAGCATCAAAGCATGTTTTGTGGAATGAGCAACGTCCTGAAGTCCCAAAACCCAGAAGGTAGAAACGGGCTGTAATGAAGTCAGTTTATGGTACAACTTATTAATACAGGTTGAAACTGCCTTTGTATTTTTTTATAGTTTTATACATGGCAATATGTGTTAGTGTGTTGTTGTCTTGGAGAGCCTGAGGCTTAGTACTACTTATAGCTTTATAATATATTACAACCAAACAGTACACAGTTTGTTATTAACCAAAGTGTATTCATTGTATTTATTATGTTGAATATGATCTAATTTTTAAATCTATGGATTTCTTTATAAAACAAGAATTTAAGATTACTAAGGTATACAGTTTAGCTTCCATCATTACAACGTCCATACACTTTTGTGTCCAATGTGACTCACAGTTAATATTTAAAGCATCCATTCTTCGGTTTACTCAGGTGGCCAGGTGGTCTAAGGTGCTGCAATTCATGGAGTTACGTCCCTTAGGATTGGTTTGAATCCTGGTTTGCCCTGATTATGTTTCTTGTTTGGTCTGCACCACAACCAAGCTAGTGGATGTCACCACAGTCAAGTGTCTACGACCAGTATCACTTCAGGCTTTCCTCCCAACACACCATGATGTACCATATTTGATAAATAAATGCCCCAGGTGCTGAGAAAATTGACAAAGATACTTTGTAAAACCATACACAACGAGTACAATTTTATGTCAGAGATTGAGGAGTAGAACAGACTTCATTCAAACGGCAATGATTCTAGCAATATCACGTCGAGGGACACCAGAAATGGCGTCACACATTGTGCCCATGTGGGGAATTGAACCCGGGTCTTTAGCATGACGAGCAAACACTTCAACCACTAGGCTACCCCACCGCCCCTTATAAAGACGACTTACAGAATGGTATGGAAGTTGATAAGGGGGTGCTTATAGGAGCGAGGCGCTTATTACGATAAATA